ATATGAGTGTGTGTGTGTGTGTGTGTGTGTGTGTGTGTGTGTGCTTGTTTTATTAAAAGGTCCATTCACAGAGGCACCTTTGCTGTGATTCTACTGAGGGTAAGCCTAAGGCACTCAAAGCACAATGTTTAGTGCAACCTCTCAACAAAAAGTCCTTTAAAATGTAAGAAATATCTGTCAGTAGTAAAGAACTGAAAATAATTTTATTTTCTTGACACTAGTGGACTTATCTGTCTTAGTATCTTGAAACAAGATAGAATGACACTATTTTTTTCAAAGCCAGTCCATCATAATGTATGAGCTTTCAAGAGAACTTTAAGGTTGAATATAAGAGAGTAAGTGATTGAGCAGACATACTGTATATCTATGACCACAAAATTAAATTAAAGACTGAGCTATGGGAGTGATAAAAAGTAAGAAATATAGCTGCAAGCAGTAACCCTTTTGCGCTTATTACTGGAATTTAAATAGTAATTCGTTATACTACTGGAAAAACTATTATTACTGTCACGCATTATTAGTCAACACTGGTCTCCGTATTGTTCATTGTGACAAAATTAACCTCAGCTGTGTGTGCAAGTCATCAGCACTCATAAATATGACAGGTGAATGACAATAAAGCAATTTTTCAAACATGTTGTGACATGACCAGTAAATTTTACAATGCCCCAACATTCATCCAGTGACATTATTTCCATTGTGGGCCTACATTAACAACACACCGAATAAGTAATAGTTTATTTTACTGCAAAATGAATTCAAGAGGATAAATTACACAAATCTATGCACTTCACTTTATGTTTATATAAGCAAGGCTACAAGGGCAGAGGCTTCCATTCTTAAAAAACAATACCTAGTTTCAAATTAAAGCACCCTTAAAATGCTACACTGTAAGGCCATATGGAAAAGATTTGTTACAAACATAGTTCAACATAGATATCTACCAATTTTTGTGATGACTGGACAAACTCATTTGTTCATGGCACAATTTGGACCAGGCTTGTGCACATGTTTGGCGCTGGTGTCGCCCCCTATTGAGCAATGTCAAATTAGTTTTACACAAGTGATTCAAAATTGTTATTAAATATATGCAAGTTTTGTAAGGTTTGGACAAACATTTTCTCATTTGTAAATTGATTTGTGCTAGGTTATGCCAATTTCTTGGCCTCCTAGTGGTAGATTTGATCAACATTTTCAGGGTATGTTTCAGTTAATCATGTGGAGTTGATCCTGCAAGTATTGTGATGACTGGCCCAACAGTTGTTGACTTGACCCTTTTAAAATTCATTGGTCAATATCATGAAAACCACACAAGATATCAACAAGCTTGATTCAACTTTTGATAAGCCTGGTCCAATAATGATGCACAGACTATTTAGTAGCAATCAGACTTACAGTTTAGGAGGACATGTGCAAAAATGTGCATGTGCTCCAAATTTGATGACATTCTGTCCATCAGGTTTCAGCTACACATTTTTTGGTGTTTGTGGCAACCCCTATGGGTCGACCTCAAAATGCTTTGGAGGGCCTACTCCCAAACATGGCCTGAAGATATCTACCGAAATGTATGATGATTGGAAAAATCATTAATGATTTTACTTGCTAAGCCTCAGAAAAATCTGTTGCAGTTGGACCTACGGTTGATGATGATGAGATGCCGGAGAATCCATCATGGCGGACTTTTATGGTCAAAGATGTTTTTTTTTGTAGAGCACATTGAGTCAGATTTCTAGTCAATCAGACAATCTTGCTGTAGTGCTGGAAAATTTCCACACCAAGACTGAAAAAAAATGTAACTACTGTAATACTGTAACCTTAGTGTCTATATGTCCTTTATGAATTAATTTATAAAAGAACAAGCCTTTTTTGCCATGTTTTACTTTAGTCTATCAGCATCAAAAATGATGAAGATTACTTACTGAACTGACTACTAAAGTGACACAATAAATCAGCACGGCTGGAAGATCATTATGATAACAGTTAACCAGTGAAGCAGATATATTTGGGTATAATCTCAGTAATCTCACAACTATTTATCATCATGACACTTGGAACATAATGTGAGCGTTTAATATTAACACTCAGTCATCATGTAGTTGCTGCCAAGTTGATGCCATTATCTCTAAGAAACAAAGCCAGAAAACCAACATAAGCACAACTCTGTTTGAATTTTAAGTGTTCAATAGATAATAATAGATATTTTAAGTAATGTTAAAGTTAAATTGTAATTTACATGCAAATTCACATGGTGTTAATTTACAATAGAAACATAGCACCTCTTTCAGCCATCTTTCTTTGTACCATGGTTTTATGGTAAATGCCTAGATGTAAGAAAATTATTGTGCAGTTCAAAGACTTTTAAAGAACCAAGGATGAGTTTGCTCATCTTGACATGCTGCCTCACCTTAAAGATGACGTAACTGTAAATGTAACTAGATGAGTCACTTTACACCAGCTATCATCTATTGTTTATTTTAAGAGCCATTTCTGTTCTGTCTGATACAAAATAAGGCTCCACGTAAACCAAAATCCCACTATTGATCCTTCAGTATTAAAACATCCATCTTAACAAGGCATTTGGTCTCAGATTCTTCCTTCAATGCTTTTTTCTTGTTTATTCATTATTCACTTTCCTCAGTGCTGTTTTCCCTTTTTATGAAATATTTTAGAAATATTGGTCAGTAATGTAATAGTGCAGGATAAATCAGATTGTTGCACTAGCATTAAGACTCTGGCTAACTCATTTAGACACAACAGTAACTTAAAGCATTTTAGATGAAAATGCAAAAATGCTGCATTAACAGACCATTTTTATTTTAGGTATTTTAGATTTTGTTTAGGTTGTTTTCTTGTTTCTGATGCAAATCCACTTCTTTCAGAAGTCTATTTCAGACAGGTTTCATCTTCTCGATACCACAGAGCACCCGTTGGCATATTCTGCCTTCTTTCAGTTGACACTGACTTCTATAAAATTCATGAAATGAGGGAAACTGTACTTGGAATAAGATGAATTATCTCACCACAGCTGGCTGAATTCTTTCTATTGCTTTCAGTCTTCAAGACTGAGTAAAAGAATAAATGACTTGTTAGAGGTTTTCTGCCAGGTAACCACAATAAGAGGCAAAAAAGTGGCATGCCTAACATTGTTAGGGTAAACTAAAGATATCTGGCATGCTCGCTAACTCGTGTAGACATGCACATTTGTACACTTGATTGAATTTTCTGGGAGCTGCAGCCTCTCTGCACCCAGTGGGGAGGCTCGGACACCCTGACTCTCCTCGCTGTGCTGTGTCCACAGACATTAACTTAGCCAACAGGCCACAGTAACTCTTTTCATTCAAATGAATGCTGTGACAATAGGTCTGTTTGTCAATATACCCTGACTTGTAAAGAAGATAGGGTTCTTCTTTGTTAATTTACAGAAATAGGTCTATGTCTTGTTTAGCTTAGCTTAGAAAGATACTCTATACCTCTCTCAACTGTCTCTGCTGAAAGCGGGTGGTATGGTTAGCTTAGTTAGCATGTTAAACATGCTTTCTAACAACTTTTTGTTATCTTTTGTATTCAACAGTTATACAACAAAAACAAGACATTGTGGTTTGTGGAGCACTTATTTTATGCATTGGAGCCCTTTCTCCACCAACCTGCCTAGCCTAGCCTAGCCAAGCCTAGGCTAGGCTAGGCTTGCCTCAGTTTCCCTCTGCCTAGCCTAGGCAAGCCTAGGTTAGGCAGAGGGAAACTGTTAGCCCAAATATTAGCGCTGTTGAAAGTTCAAATAACTTCCAGCAACTCCAAAGTTGTCCTCTTTGTAGTTTGTATTCTGTATCTTGGTGTAAAGAAAATTTCCAACACATCAGATCGTTGAAGTGCTGAGCTTATTTTTTTTAACTTTTTATTAATAAATCCCCCACCCCCTTTTTGTTCTCTCTGTGAATTTGTTTCTGCAGCTGCATGCACCAGCAGTCAAGAATGGACCATGAACCAACCTGTGCAAGAGCTTCACCTGGTAAGCATGAGGACATAGCTTTTACAAACTGTTCAGTGCGATTTTATACTAAATGAATATTTTCTTTCTCTCTGTCTATTTTTGTGTATGGTCTCCAGGGTGTTTTGGGAGGTCTGTGCAGTGGGAAGTCTGCTCTGGTCCACAGACACCTGACAGGAAGTTACCTGCCACTGGAAAATGCTGAGGGTTGGTTTCACATATCGTCATCTACAGCCTTTATGTGTGTTTTTTCTGTCACGCTGTTGAAACCTGACAATATACCTTTATCAAAGCAGACATTTTGACTTGGCATACACAGGTGTAACGGATAACATTAATAGTGGACGATCCACCGCCAGGGCCATGCTAATAATTTTATTAGTTATACAGGTGCTTTTCCTGCCTTAACAAGTGGAAATGCTTGCTGAGAAAGACAGTTTACAGTGGCTATTGTTTATCCCCATATTTTCAGGACGCCAGTATATTAAGGATGTCCTAGTGGACGGACAGAGCCACCTGTTGATAATCAGAGAAGAGACTGAACTCCCAGGTTCTCAGGTGGGTTAAGAACTGACCTAAACTTGAATATAATGGACAACTAATTACACTTTGTATAAATTAGTCTTTACTCTTAGCACGCTCTTGTGTAATTGAGTGCTATTCTTCTTCTTCCTTTTCCTTAGTTTGCAAGTTGGGTGGATGCAGTTATCTTGGTGTTCAGTCTGGAAAATGAGTCGAGCTTCCAGGAAGTTTACAAAATCTACCACCAGCTTGCCATCTACCGACCTGTCACTGAGATACCTTTTGTAGTAGTTGGCACTCAGGGTAAGACACTCATACACAACATGTGCTTTCATTCAAATGTTTGCAGAGGTGACATCTTGCTGTATCTGTTGTTTGTTCTTTTTCTAGATAAGATCAGCAGCACCAACCCCAGAGTAATAGATGATGCCAGGGCCAGACAGCTGTGCTCAGATGTGCGGCGCTGCACTTACTATGAAACCTGTGCAACATACGGCCTCAATGTGAACAGAGTCTTCACTGATGGTATGTGTCCAGGTGAAAACCAGACCGCAACATGGAGCGTACTGCTGAAGAAGAAGCAGATATATGAAAGATTATGTGTCTGTTTAGAGGGCTAACATTTATTTTTTTGTTCCACAGCTGCTCAGAAGATCATGGCAGCCAAGAAGCAAGCTGCTCTACTGGCTTCCTGTAAATCTCTCCCAAACTCTCCCAGTCACTCTGGAGGATCCACCCCAGTGTCAGGTGTCTTTCCAGGACAGGTAAAACTGTTAAAGACCATATGTTCCACATTGAGCAAAGTTGGACCATTTATCTTTTCTTACTGAGTGTGTTGTGTATTTCAGGTTTTTGTTGTCCGGCTTTTTTTTATAAGCTGTATGCACATTGTTGTATCAAACTCAATTATCCCGCTCTCCTGTTCACCCCCCCCCCCTTATGCTGCTCTGCCTCGTTCCTCTCTTTAGGCCAGTAACGGTGGTCAGAGCAGTGATTACTCCTCATCACTTCCCTCCACCCCTGTGATCAGTCATAAGGAGATCGGCAGGACAGCCAGAGGGGAGAAACAAGACAGTGCCACGCCTGGGTCAGTGCGAAGCGCCACCCGAAGACGCACCTCTCGATTTGCGGTACATATTGATCAAGTGATTGTTTTTTAGGGACACAAGCTTCAAGTGTGGTTTGGCACTATTTACTTTCCCTTTATTCTCTTTCTCTTTGTTACTTTTAACTCACATTTCACTCGGTTTCCATGTTAAAAAAACTCATGAAACTGTGAGCACTTGTCAAGATGCCACGCAGATAAAGATAAACCAAGGCTCAGCGGAAGAATGCTATTGATAAACCTATAGTCACAGTAAGAAACTTTACTCTGTCATACAGTTTATTCACCTTAATATACAAAAACTTACTAACTCATATCCACAGTGAACAGTTTGCTCACAGGGCCCATAAAGGAGGAGTGGGAGGTATAACCAATGTAAAAAGCACAACGGTAGAGAGATGCACCGTGATATGGATATGGCTCTACTGTTATAGGATGTCTTTTATTTGTCAAAACAACACACATTATCAGATAAGAAGTGATGGGTGAAGAAGCTCGTCACACCGCATTAGTCTGTGGAAATTTGCATTCTCCTCAATGTTTGACTTTTGAAAACCAAAGCATAGATCAAGCAGTCTTTTTGCAAAAAGAAAGAAATTCATATCTAAGAAAAACCCATAACTTGGTTTCGGGATTTGACTAGGAAACTTAGGAACTTTATTTAAAAAATTCAACACCACATTTTGATCAATGTTGGGCAGAATGGTGAATAGATAATATAAAGTCAGTGGCTGAAGCCTATGTTAGTTTTTTATTTTTATTTGTAACACGGTTTTTGATCAGTCTCTTGCTGGTAAGACTTGATGGGGTTATCTGACATTGCATGTAGAAGAATTTTGAAACAAAAGATTAAACCTGCATTTATTGATTTTCGGCCCCTAGGGAGCAGGGCAATGAACTGAAAGCACAACTTCGTCCGTATGTTGTTTGTTGCTGGGCAGGTAGTGCACAGTGGGATTAAGAGGCTTCGATGAGTCGATGAGAGCGGTGAGAGAGAATTCACACGTTAACGTTTCAAGCTTTAAAACCAGAACAGTGAGCTGAAAGATGCTAAAATACTCCAAGTTGGGTGATATGTACATTTGTCCCTATGAGTGACCCCTTTCAGATTACTAGTAAGCTTTTGTTAATTTGATAATATTGATATCAATGCAAATGGGACTGGTACTAAACTAATTTCTATGGAAATCAGTTATAAGCCAGTCTTTACAGGCAAAATATCTTTTATGGCTTTTTTTTTTTAAATGCACAGTTATTCATAGGGAAAGGCTCCATGCTTTATGAGTTAGAATTAATATTTTTAACCAATCACCCCATTCTTGCCTCTGATGCAGTTATTGCTTTTTCGTCTAGGGCCGGAGAGGCAGTGATTCAAACAGAAGAAGTGCAGACTATAAAGGAGATCTGGGCAGTGGGCGCTCCATTCCCATCAAACAGGTAGGACACAGATTTGCACTTGATACAGAATCAAATATCATGTATCTAATGACCCTCTGCAGAGGACATCACACCAGCTGTCTCTTCAAATCAAATGTGTGAAGGCAGTTTCATCATGTGGAGCGATGAGGTGTGATCTCTCAAATTGCCCTGATGAATAGTTGGTGGGTCTTGTTGGCAGCCAGTAATCGTGTGCCGCCAAAATATGTTAGATGAACACGCGAGACTTTAGCAATAAATTCTCACTCTCGGGTTTTGTCACCTCCATCAGGGCTTCTTGCTGAAGCGCAGTGGAAGCTCACTCAACAAAGAGTGGAAGAAGAAGTATGTCACACTGTCCAACGATGGCATACTGTCCTATCACTCCAGTGTCAATGTGAGTCACTGTGTTGAGTCCCCAAAGCATTATGCTGCTGAAAGCACCACTGACGGCTGGTGGCTGATGGTAATGGCGGATGTTTGGTTTGACAGGACTACATGCTGAACACCCCGGGGAAAGAGATGGACCTGCTGCGAGTGACAGTGAAGGTGCCGGGAAAGCGACCGCCCCGTGCTGTACCTGCCGGCGGCCCTCCAGTCGGGCTCAACGGGCGGGTCAAAGACGTGCCGGGACCTGAGGGTCTCAGCCCAGGTCAAAGAATAAACATTTTTCCTGCATTGTACACCATGAGAGGATGAGGGCAATTCTAATTTTAGATGCCACACAAAAATGTATTTAAATCTGGGCATAAGTATAAAACATAAACTACAATAAGTCTAACAACTATTTTCCAATTATCAGAGGAATTATAGAAATAAAACTCACTTACACAAAGTGCTTCAAAGTGCACCCATGAAGAGGCTGAAATTTGAAAAGATTGATTGAAAGTCCTGATTTGAAATCTCCACGATGGTTCTTTTCTTTGTGAAGCACGGGTGCATGTGAGTGGGTGAAACAGAACCTGATGACACTGAGTAGAAATGAGCAAAGTAATGTTAAAAGAAAAAAAAAAAGATAAAGAGGCAAGAGTTGGGGCGGGGGAATCAGGGCCCAGAACTACAGTCAGTGCATGGTCCTTTGGATTTTAAGACTTTTTTTGTGAGGAGGGGGGTCAAGCCTCTGTACCAGAGTGGGAAAGAAATTGCAAGAGAATGCAAAACCTTAACAAAAGAGCATCATAAGGGGTTTTACACGTTTTGCAAGAGTGTGTGAAACACTTCACCATTTATTTAGTAATACTCTGTATCTTTTATTTTCTTTGGTATATATATATATATATATATATATAGTGTTAGTGTCGTATTTATTTAAATCATAGAAACTCAGATTACATTTAATGTTTGCCTAAATAACTCTGTTATTAAGTACATGCTTTCTGTTGTCTCTTTAGTCCCTGTAAGTGCCAGTAGTCTCCTGCAAGTGGAGGAAATGGAAGGCCTGGGCGGTGCACTCTTCCTGAGGAGTAACAGAGGGGTGCAGCGATGTCCTTCCACATTATCTAACCATGCTCAAAGTGTTGGTGAGTAAAGGACCTCAGTATGTGCATGACTTAAAATCATCCATGTGTTTGCACCAGATTCATATAACTTGGTGCATTGGTCCTGTGCTCTTGTGGCTAGACTCTGCAGTTGAGGGAGTCTCCAGCTCCTCCTCCACCAAAGATGTTGGCTCTGCCTCCCCAGTGACTGACAGGAAGAAGCATCGTAGGAAGAAGAGCATGAACCAGAAAGGAGATGCAACCACTGGCCAAGCAGATGGTAACACTGGAACAACTCCAGCAAATGTGTTTTTCCATTCAGCATTCAGCAAGCCCAATAATAAAGACAGCAATCATATTCTGATATTTTTTAGATGATGTTAATCATGAAAAAACAATAGTAATAATTGATAACTTTTATATTATATCTAATGTGCTTTCAACATGTAACATTTTTTGTTTCCTCTCTGTCTCTTTTGCTTTTTCGTGACTTCTTCTGCAGCCAAGCGCAAAATGTGGAAACTGAAAAGCTTTGGTAGCTTAAGAAACGTAAGCAAGACAGGTAATGTTGATCTGTCGAACTTCATCTTTCAAACTCTGCCTGACCCTCTGTACACGTCAGTCTGTCGGCTTGGGTTCCTTTCACATCAGGGAAGGATATTATATCATATCAAGCTTTGTTGTAGCATGGCTAAATTAAACTGTAAAATATGCAATTGGTATTCGTCACATATACATTTTGTCTTCCTTCATGAATGCAAAATGTATCATGTGGGTCAGGGGTTTGGTTATATTTGAACAGTTCACTGATACAAAAAGAAAAATGATGGTCCAACACGGATGCTTAACTGCATTGATACATGCAAACTTAAACCCTTTCGTTCATAATGCTGCAGAAGCGTCTGCATTCGGGTGACTGGCTTAACTTTCTACATGGGCAAAATGACTTCCACTGAAAAATCTATGTGGTGTGTTCATGTTTTTCTGTGTCAGATGAGGATAACTTTGACTTCCTCATCGTGTCGAGCACTGGCCAGACGTGGCACTTTGAAGCCCAGAGTGTGGAGGAGAGGGATTCCTGGGTCCAAGCCATCGAGAGCCAGATCCTGGCCAGTCTGCAGCTGTGTGAGAGCAGCAAAAACAAGGCAAGACAGAACAAAAGGCATTCAGTGTATTTTCTATAGACAATGCATTCAATGTATTTTACAATGATAATTTTTTTAAAACTGTATTGTCATTAATTACCTTCATTAATTATGTCTGTACTGGGTTTGTAACCCGCAATTCATCATGTTTTAACTGGTGTGGCTGCAAAAATGAGAACTCTGATCCTCCTTACTACAGTAAAACACAGTAAACATTCACATTAATGCATAAAAAGACAGTAAAGATCCTTTTACATACTTATGCACATACATAATTCTCTATCAACATACTGTGTATGTCTGAACGTGTATATTGACATGAATACACCTCCACCTGTCTGTATGTACCTGTACACATTAAATCCGTTCATTGCCTATATGATATCACGGCACAGCTATTTAGCCAATCTTGTTTCAAAACAGTCAATATTGCCTCTTATTTTATGAGATTTTTTTTCTATGCTTTTATGCTTCACCAGTTCTATTATTCTCAATATTCTAAGTAAAATTTTTTCCCTTTTGGCCATTTTTTCAGGAGGCATTACACCTGATAAGATCATTTAAAAAAATCTGGATCCATGGAAATGTTCATAATACATTCTTTTTCACTAATCTAATACATGACACATGATTTAAATATGTGGGCGAGGTCTTTATAGATTTCTCCCATCAACACAGATGCAAACGAATCATATTTATTGATTACTCCCACATATGTTGAAATGCATCTTCATCTGTTTCCTGCGGGCACATCTCCTTGTGTGTGTGTGTCCCAGTGCAGTGATAATGTAACTCACAAAGGACAAAATATTAATGAATATGATAACAACTCAAGATGTGCCTTTTTTAGTATTACGTGTACCTGCTTGCATGGAGATGGGCAGAGTCATACACCTGAGGTTTGTTTTTATGCAAATCAGGTGGTGCAGCGCAATATTGGGACCCATATTGGCATGAAATTGTGTCTGCGCTTCCATCTGCTCAGACCGCCTCTTATTGCAAGTCAACAGTATAATTCTTAAGGCTTTAGTTGCCAAAGGCACACACATAGCATAAATACTTTATATAATAAAATCATTTTGGGGTACAGGATGTGTTTGCTGAATGAGACCTGAGCTCCATCAAGGACATAAACAATATTCCACCACAGATTTGTTTGGACAGTCCAAACCAATATTTTAGTTTTGTTAACTGCTAAAACTGAGCATTGATTGGCTTAAAGAATTATTGGAGCATCATTGTACAAATATCCAGTACATGTATGCAAATATAAATGAAGGCAATCATCCCATTTTAGCAAGCAAAATATAGACAGTAGATAGTAATAGTGGAAATATATATTTGTACTACAGGTTGCAGCAGTTGTAGCCAAACTGGGTTTTTATCTTTTTTTTTCTTAAAAAGAGCAGCATTGTGTATGTGAGGCGATTTCACTATCTCCTGAAATGTAAACGGAAATTTAGAATCGGCATTATCTGCTCGCTAATCTCATTGTATGCTATATATTTACACCCTGGGACTCCTGGATGAGAAGAGCTTTCTCTTAGGGAGACTCTTCTCAATCCATTAGGAAACTGCGGCTAATGCGATCGGCCATTACCAAAGTGCTGCATGTGCCAAACTAACAAATGGGCTAGGATGGTTTCTGTTCTTGAGTGGGGAGTACATCCTGGTGTGGAATTAGTTCAGTCATCTCTAAAAATTATAATTGCCACTAATATGATGATTCTGAATGATTACCTAAATCCCATGATGCATGTCTTTATGAGAATAGTATGTCATAGGAGGCCAAAACCCTTCATTTTACAGCTTTAAATGGTCATTATAATGATTATAGCCATCTACCACAGCTTTTTCACTGGGAGATTTGGAGATGATAATCATTGTTATTAGTAATGAGAGCAGTTAGCGGAGCTAATATCACAGAGGGGCGCTTTCTGGTGTTTTTTTCATTTTATTCATATACTGTGTGTTTTCTACAGGCTCGCAAGAACAGCCAGAGTGAAGCGGTGGCTCTGCAGGCGATCCGCAACGCAAAGGGCAACAACTTCTGTGTTGACTGTGATGCACCAAGTGAGTAACACACTCTAACAGCTTTTCTCCTCCTTGTACATGTCCATACGCGTGTCTGGTTTTGGTACATTTCCCATCTTGTCTCATTTCAACCCTGTACATGTGTCATCTCTCCAGACTACCCTTGTTATTTTCTCTTTGGTCATGTTTTTAGTTTCAAAAGTCTGTGAAAAAAGAATCAACCAGGTTTGAGACCAAGACTGAGAGGAATGTGGAGAATTGAATTTATGGAGCTGTTGAAGCATTATTACACTAGAACAAACCTGGTCAGTCAGTGTGGAGAGTGGGTGTGACCACTGGATTGTCAGGTTTGGAAAGTTACAAGAAAATGTCTCACTATCTAAAACCAGCTTCACATCTTTCTGACTCTCCTAAGAACAGCTCATTTGGACTGTTATTTATTGAGGTGTTGCAGTCACATAATGGCCCTGGTTTACATGCACTGAACACTGAATCTGTGAAATAGTTACAGATTGAGTGACTATGCATGTACTATAACTCTAAATAAAGCAAGTCCCTGTTTTCCATGTGTACCTGTGTGTGTGTGTGTGTGTGTGTGTGTGTGTGTGTGTGTGTTGGCGTGTTTCCCAACCATATTTATTATATTCACAGGAAAACTGAGTTTAAATTTTTCTTCATTATTGTATTCATGTTGTATAATTGTTGAATTTTTAAAGGTAAGTTAAAAAAATTTTCTGAGTCCTTCAACTCAAACTCACTACCTGAATGCTTTATTGAATCTGAATTGAGTTGTCATCCTTGAAATAATTTTTTACTTGTGTAAGCAAAACTTTTGGCCAAAAGAATGGCTACAATGTTAAGTGCAAGGTAAATTAATCCATTAGGGAAGGACGTGCAAATATTGTCTAATTTCAGTCCAACACATGAGCAATGGGCTGCGATGCAAACCTTCGCTTTTAGGAAATGTAATCAGCAAAATTTCACTCATACTCCAGAATTAAAATCAGTATCTTAGAAATCACTAAACCGAACAAAAATAGATTAAACGCTGAATATTCTTCTGATGTTGGAACACTTTAAAAGGCCAGAGTTTCAGGGGAATATAATGTTTGGCTCACTGGCCACAGATTTAACAGCCCTGCTTTAAAACTTGTCCAAACAGGATTTCACACAACTTCAGACACTTTCATGGCATGACATGGCCAAACTGGCATACAACAAATTCAGATGGTAGAAATCTGTCAACCATATTGCACATAGTTTCAAATGTAGTGTCAGCCTAATTTGTTTGTGTGTACTCTCCCTCTCCCAAGATCCAACCTGGGCCAGTCTGAACCTGGGCGCTCTCATATGCATCGAGTGTTCAGGAATCCACAGGAACTTGGGAACCCATCTGACGCGTGTTCGCTCCCTGGACCTTGACGATCTGCCACGAGAGATGACTCTGGTTCTCCGTGCCATCGGCAACCACATGGTCAACAGTATATGGGAGGCGCGCACACTGGGGCGGCGTAAACCAGCGCCCGATGCTACAAGGTAAGGAAAGAGTGTTAAAACAGACCAACGTGTCATGAGATGTAACGTTATTGATGCGACATGGGGCAGCACTGCTCTAGTTCAATATCTTACATCATGCGGGTATGAGCTGCTTACAGTTATGCGTCTGAGTCTACAAGCTGTTTTACATTCTTGAGCAGAAGAAAAGACAAGAAGCTGTAAACGTATTTCACCTTTCTTTCTGTTTCTCTGCTTTCTTTGCTGGTTCAGGGAGGAGCGGGAGTCTTGGATCAGAGCCAAATATGAGCAGAAACTGTTTGTGGCGCCGTTGCCTCCTCCCACTCCCAGTGAGGGCCCAGACATCACACTATCTGGCCGTCTTCTGTTGGCAGTGATGGAGCACAACCTCCCCAGGCTGCTGCTCCTTTTGGCCCACTGCACTAAGGAGGACATTAATGCACCTCTCAGCCTGGCCCTCTCATCCAGGTCGCTCTTAGCGCTGCGACTGCCCGGCTCTGCCCTGCACGCTGCCTGTCAGCAGGCTGATGTGGTGATGACGCAGCTTCTTGTTTGGGTGCGTTTCCCTCCCTATCTGTTTTACCTCACTGTGGTTCTTCATAGTTTTGATGTAATAAACACCAAAGAACTGCAATACACAGCGACAGAGACACGTTGCACTGAATGAACAGAATAGACAAAGTGTAAAACGATTTTAAATGTCGACGTCCACAGCAAAAATAATAATGTTACCCTTCAATAACCTCTAAGTAATAGGCTCAGCAAGAAAGAAAAGATGCTGAATAAATGACTCAGCAGACCACTCAAGGTGATGTGTGTGTGTGTGAGTGTGTGTGTGTGTGTGTGTGTGTGTGTGTGTGTGTGTGTGTGTGTGTGGTAATCAATGTGGAAGCACAAAGCTTACTGAGTCACATCTTGTTGGGATAATTTAAGGCAGCCTTGTCAGGTTTTAGGCCTCAGAGACCACAGGCCATTTATTCCATGTGATAAAATGTGGAATATGGGGTAATTACATAGTCTGATCCAGTTTTTGATCTTCTTTTTCTCTTTGTGTTCAGTATGGCTGTGATGTTCGGTGTCGGGACGCTCAGGGGCAGACAGCGTTGGCTCTGGCTCGTTGTGCTGGCAGCCAGGAGTGCGTCGACATCTTGCTCCAGTACGGATGCCCAAATGAACCGTCCCCCTCCGTCGCCACGACAGTCGGTTTCGCAGCAGCCGCTACATCCAGCTTCCCTGTTGCTATGACGCCTAGCCTGACGGTTGCCACGACACTCAAGATCTCGCACAAGAGCGGTGGCACCAGCTTGAGCTACAGCACTTCCAGAAGAGCAGTGTCATAATGGAAATATGGTGTGGTATAAAGTGTGTGAGTGTGTGTAAGAGTGTGTAAGAGTGTGTGTGTGTGTGTGTGTGTGTGTGTGGACTACACATGACATGGCGTTCAGATTTAATAGGAATGTATTGCACTGTATACCAGCTGGTTTGATGTGTGTGTGTGTGTGTGTGTGCGTGTGTGTGCGCGCGTGCATGTTTGTGTGGGATGAAAACACTCATTGGTAATCACACAGGCACATTCAGTCTGCTACAATGATTTAACCAAAACAAAAAGAGAAATTTTCCTGACTACACATGACATGGCGTTCAGATTTAATAGGAATGTATTGCACTGTATACCAGCTGGTTTGATTCACATTTCCTCATGCAGTCAATATTCAACTTTATTCTCCACTCTACTGAGGATGGAAATCTGCCTTTGGCCTCAAACAGCTTAACTGAGCATCTAGAGCCCAGAAATAAAGAACTGCAATAAGTTTACTCTTTGAAAGATGGACGTCTCTATTTTCAAGTCTGTCTTGCTTGAAATCCCGGTGTCAAACACATCCATACTTCTTCTTCTACTTTATTGACCACGAATGTTTTAAATTCAGAGTGCGTATACTGTGTTACGTTCAACACAGCTGGTCGTTCAGTGCATAAATAATGTTGTGTAAGTTGATTAAAAAAAACAAAACAAAAAAAAACTTTACAATGGTTGGAAAAGAAAGGTTGTTTTAAAGATAATCAAAATAACTGTATAGAGATACATTGATAAAAATACTATAATATTCTAAAGATTTAAAAGTGCTTCATTTTCCAGATTGTTATTGTATGATTTGTACAGTTGGTTCTGTGTATAAAACTCAAAGGGTTACTCATAGCTGCTCAGAGATTTACTGCACAGCCTCTTGGTTTAGTTTTCCTTTGACTACCACCTGATTAACTCTTTGACGTCCACAACTGAGATTTATATGTTATGTTTGCATCACTGTGTGTGACATAAACACTGCACATGATGTGTGCGTCATGGCAGCAGGTCATTACCGTGGCGAGTGTAATACTAGACGTGTACACGAAGAAGTGAAATGCCTCCATTTTGACTGAATGTATATGAAAACAGATGGTTTGAGTTCATTATTTCAAACACTAACATGTGTTTTCCAGATGTTACTGTTTTATTTTTAATTGACTAATATTCCTGCTGTGACTAATAGACATTGAAAGTAATAGGTTTAATAGATCAAATGTTGTGATCTACAAAACTGGGCCTTTGAATGACTATGATTATATTTACAAGTGGCTGAAAACCAACATGAACTAGAAGAATGTTGCCCAAATTAATATTTAAAAAGAAGGCATAAAAAACAACCCTCCTGCAGTACTGTGTGTATTTTGTGTTGATCTGAAGACGCTGAGTGTACTTGTCTGTGATGTAAGCATCTCTCTCCATTTGTATTTTTTTACTCATGCAATGGTTCATAGAGCATTCATTACCAATACACTAAGGCTACTGCCCAAGCTGTGGTGTTTTGTTCAGAGTTGTGTGTGTTTTTGTGTCTGGGCTCTTAGCAGACCATTTTTCAAAAGGCAAGTTGTTTTATATATATATACGTATATATATATATACGTTTGTCCAGATTTGGTTATTCACTTACCTATTTTGACCTTTAAATATACTGTAGAATTTACTCCTGGGAGGTCACGAGAGGCTCCAGCTCACAGGAGCATCATGCAGTGTAGTTACATCTCATATGCTGGTGTGCAGAAGGTTCATGTTTCAAACTGAGCTGAGAGCATCATTTTCTAGACAGGTGGGAGTCCTCCAGTAGCCAGAGGCCATCACTTAACACTCTTCTAGCATTTGAATGTGAGGTGTTTTGGATCACACCAGCTCTTGTTAAAGGCCCCTACTGGCTTCGACCTACTTCTTTCTAGGTTGAAGTCATGGACTCATTTTTATTCCATCATACCATCTCTGAGATGGTTTCAGTTTCATGGAGTTGTGAAGTGATTTTTCTGGGAAAACACATGTAAAGACAAAAGTGATATAAACACAATAACTAGAAGGCAAATGGTGCCAATATGGGGATGTTTTGTAGATTTATAGATGTTGGTGTTCAGGAACTATATAAAAAACATGAGGTTGGTATATATGATATGGAATAATGATATATGAATGATATAGATATAGAATTAACTCTATCCAATTGCAATACAATAATCCAACTGATTATTGCAATTTAATGAATGATTGTATTTGCAGATTGTATTTGAGATGTTGCTGTTGAGTTTTCAAATTGTCTGTGAAGATCCTCAGTCATCCAGATCTCAGAGCTGTACGAAGGCAACTGGACTTGCTTGAAGCTCTTGAAGACGTTTCACGACAGAAGCCTTTCAGACTGAAGAAGTCTTTTGGATGAGAGATGAAATATCGCCCAAGAACCCCAAGCAAGTCCAGCTGCCTTCATATAGCTCTTAGAGAGTTTGAATGATTTGAGCCGCATAAACCAAACAGGGTTAAACTCCACTTTATTTGGGTGAGCTACAGCCACTGGTTCCAAACCTCTGAAAATAAGATCAGTATATATACTATAGACTGTATGTGCTTGTTACAGATCGCAATGCATGAAAGAGAAAACCCAGCTTTTGTGTTTTCCCTTAAATACTGACATTGATTCAATCCACTTCTGACATGTTTGTGTTTACATTGCTGTGAAAGCTTCAAACTCGGGCCTCGGCTCTGGAACATGTACACAACTCGAAAAGAACAAGAAATGTTTTACTCAGAGTTTAATCCAGCGTACATTTGTAAACATGATTGTTGATAATCTTCTAAAAGAAAAATGAATGCAAAGTTACTGTTGACAGGACAAAGATTTCAGTGTAATGGAAACATTTTTGTTGGGCTTTTTATGCGTTTTTGAAGTTTACTGCTTGACATAAGTGCTGGTGTTTATCTTCTTGGTCCATTTTGGACCATTTTTATATGCCAACACAAAACTGCTCTGCACCGAGTTTGGTGTACACTGTATGAGAAAACTAAACTGAGACTGACATATGTAGAGAAAATAATCTATAAAGAGTGAATGTACAATAATAATTAGCAGAGACGATCAGTTTCATCTTAAAATAAAACAAAATTTCCTCTCCGCTCACAATTTAAAGCAAGGCTGCTGTGATTATGTCAGTTTTCTGGTTTTTGTTTTGTTTTGTTTTGTTTTTTGTAATTTATCTGGTGTGTAATTTCGTTAAAATAATCTTGGATTCACTCTCACAATCTTATTCCTCTTCATCTTCCCTCCCCTGCCTCTGTTTGTCTACTCAGCTCAAAGTGAAATCCTCATGGTAATCTTATCAAGAATGTGTGCCAGGAGGACTGGGACAGGGGAGGGAGGACTAAACAAGGACACAAATTACTGTTTCATCACTGAGAATGCATTTTATAGGAACACATGTACTGTTGGTGCCATATTCACCTGTTGGACTTACAACCATCTCACTCTCTAAAACTGAGATTTAAACCGCAGCTAAGTTAAACCTTTCAGTTTCAGGCAACAAAAGGAGACTATTTGTACTTACATCTGCAGCAGCCTGTAGTATTTTACTCACATATTTACAGTCAGTGGTAGGTTTCCAGTAGTGTTAAGGCATCCAAAAAAGTGAAAGTGTCTTTGATGAAATGACTAGTCTGGTATGCTTTTTGTGAAAATAGGTTTTAATACACCTGGTCATCAGATCATCAGTATTGATAATACATTCCTCAATAAACAACATTTCCAATGGCTTTACCTATTCATTTAATAATCACACAGAAGATTTTTAAATAATCAATTTCTTCTTCTTTTTAATATATGTGTATAAGATATAAGGTAACCGGATTTGATGCTTCATTTACACCATTATGTTTGTGCTATTAATTTTGAATCTGCACTTGGAAACATTTTCATGTAAAACTACAACAGCCTTATCAAACATTGGTGCTGAACAGGACATGAATATTGTATTGTTCCTAATTGAGACCCTGTAGATTTGTCTAGTTAGCCCAGATTATTTCCTTCCTAAGTGTTGTCACTGATGGGGAAGAGGGAGTCAGAAATCAGTATTTAAAAGCAAAACCAAAATCTTTTTCCCATGCAGCAGACTTCCACTGATGGAAAGCTGGAAAAATGAAGGATGAATGTGTTGAGAAAACATTTTTTCCTGACCACCTTCATTTTTTTGTCAGAGGTGCTAACTTACATCACCTCATATGATTTTATTTCTGCAATCCTGTATTTCTGGCTGTCACTCAAAGCCGCAGTGGTGCTGCCAAAACTTTAAGTGGAAACAAAAGAAACCCATTAACAACAGCAATGAGTTGCCAAGAAAAGTTTTCTTCCTTTTCTTCAATTACAGCTCGTCAGTCAAAATAAAGACACAGTCACATTGTGCAGCAGAGAATAATATGGAGGGTAAATACTCAGAGAGCACATAAATCATATCGAAATTAACAACAAATTTTCACAGCTTCTTAATATTGATTTGCTGTGGCGTTAAGTATTGTATAGTGAGACTCCTCTTGTATTAAATGACAAGTGGACGAGTGAATCTTTGAACTAGGCAAAGATGTTAGCGATGAACTCTCGGAAACGTTTAGCGTACTGCTCTGGATGAACTGTGGAGATTTCTGCTCCAGCCTGTAAAAACACACACACGAGACACAGTTGATTAGAAATAACTTGACGGGAAATCAAATCATTTCTTTACACTTAGCAGGATAGAGATGAAAGCGTGCGTACTGTATGCAAAGCAATCCCTTTAAAGAACACTGATCTCTCACCCCGTGTTTGACAGCCTTGGCAGCGTGAGCAGCTTTTTTCTTGGTGTCATACTGTGTCAGCACGTCAATCAAACCCATAAAATACACCTCTCTCTGGGGTGCACCTGCATGGGAGTGATTCACAGCATTGGGTGGGTGATATTGATCTGCAAGTAGGATCTTATCTGCTGCAGCCCAGCGTGAAATGAGGTCTGGGTGTATTACAGCCTAGAGCTCCTATAACCTACTTAAATTCACCAGAGATATCTCAGCTGTCAGGACTCACCTACAGCGCTCTGAATAGCGTACACATCCACGTAAGGGTCAAACTCCCCGGGACCCATGGGTTTGAAGGAGTTCATGTAGCCAGCAATGCCCTCTGGTGAGGTGGAGCTTGGGGCAGGAGCCAGGCCGTTTTCCTCCTCCCCTTCCTCGTCATAGGATGACTCCATCTCCTCTTCCTCCTCCTCCTCCTCCTCAGCCCGCTCAACATCATGGATGCCCAGCAGAAGGCTGTAGTCCATCATCCTCATACGCACCAGAAACTGCGGAAAGATGACACGCACGCTCGTCGAATCAGAAGAAAAGAATGACGGGAGTGATTCCTTAAACTCGCCTTTCTTACCTCAGTATCTCTGATGAGCTTGTCCATGATCTTCTCTTTCTCCTCGTCACTCACATAAACTTTTTGCATGTTATTCCTGAAGTCCACGTCCTTGTAAGTGGGCAGTTCTTTCACCTGTAAATACAGAGTGAAGGTTGACTGAATTACATGCAGCATAAAAATCACAAAGTGAACACAGTATTCATTAGCATTTTTCTCATTAACAGCCTTCCTATTTCCAGTGACATAAAAGTCAAATAATATTACCCCAAAAATTGTTTTCCAAATCCACAGTTTGAAAAGATCAAAGGTTTCTGCAGTTATTTAAACTCTATCCATTCAACCAGCTACTTAACAGCATTTTATCTAGGTCAGAGACGCTCCAGGCCAAACAGAGGGCCTCTGATGTTATTTAAAGTCATTTGATAAGAGATTTTACAGTGCAAACACTTTTGGAAAAACCACACTGGTAAACTAAACAATAACAATAAGATACAACAGGAAATGTAATTTTCACACTCGGCTGTCAGTCACACATTTGAAAAAGAACATTTCTCTGGTTTGCGTTGAGAGATACAGCACTGTACATCCACACCTTCAGACAGCTGCAGAGTCGACTTCAGACTCTTCTCAGTCATACATTTTCATATTTACATTTTGTTAAAATGAATCAAAAACATTCAAATCTGTTAAAGGGACCCTTCACTAATTTTACATATGAAGATAAGTTAACACGTCAGGAGAAATGATATCATCAGGGTTATGAGGGTTGTGTCTCACAAGCTAGGTGCATGAAATTGAAATAAAGATAGATCCTACCAAATCAACAAGCATTATGGGAAATGTAGGATTCAGTAATCTGGGTTTGGAGTTTGACAAATACTAAAATTCAGGATATCTCGGCCTCTGCTGCTTTGAGTCATCGCAGTGAATCATTTTAAAAACTGAAGAGCAGAAACCCATTTTAGTGAAATACTGAACCTATCTTTTAGGGTATAGAAACCTTTTTATCTCGTACAAGTCAGGCCATAGACAGTAGCTGCGCCAAACTTTCTTATCTGAAAAGGTCCCCGTATAATTAAAGGTAACACGCTTAAAGGATCCTCAGCTACACTTGCAGGATCTAATTCATCATCTTACCAATGGAGTCTGAGTCAAATAACATCAGACAGAACAGACTCATGTGAGGAGTAAATGATTTTTGTTCTCTTTATATTAGTTGACAGTCCTTTAGATTTTCCAAGACCACACTTCAGTAAATCGTCTATAATCGACACAGTTGTTGAACGGCAGAAAGTGGAGTTTAAGTAGGATCTCATCATGCAACTTTTACCAAAGTCTGATCTCACCTTCTCTTTAAAACTTGCTTCACGAGACACCAGGGACCCCTGAGGAGAGAAAAGACAGTCACTGATTACTGTTATCCTGGCGTACAAGCCCCTGAAACATGATACATGAATGGCCATAAACCCTAGAGTCTGCTTGCAACTGAGGTGGTTTAGGTGACGTAGGCATTTCTTAAATTCAGAGAATTAAAGCCTCTGTGTGTATTATGCACAGCGTTTACAGTATCTTTCAAGTCAGACAAACTGTACTAGCGCTCCCTCTCCTCCTTTCAAAAATTCCTGCGTACAGCATCTGCTTCTTAGCAAGACTCAAAAATTCAGTTGTAATGAAAGTTTATGACATAAAAACATTTACCAAATTTTTATCTTTGGTTTTCAAATTCCAGTGAAATAAATCAAATAAACTCTAAACCATAAATGCTGGTGGCAAAATAGACTGAAGTAAAACTAAAAACACAACTGATGCTTCAACACATGATGCACCAGACTTCTGAACCCTCATCCAGCCACGTGACTCCTGCAGGGTTTACCTTGAGGTCGTACTTCCTGTGCACATGCAGTCTGTGGCTGAACATGTTCCTCATAACTAACAGGTAGGTGTCCTCGCTCTCCACAGTGACTCTGTACATGGCCAAGAACTGAGGGAGCAGCGTGCTGCCGTGGCAGGTGACAATATGCTGGAAGGGAGGGCAGCAGTGAATGAGCGATGAATCGAAGGAAGCATGAGCACAGCAGTGAGGCATAAATGAAAGTGCTGCTGTCTTTGCTTAAATGCTCTCCCAGATGATCCTTCACTGGCCTGTGATCAGCATTTGGACAGGTTGTTTGTCTCTGCTGTACTCTGTCTCCCTCTCTGGCTTCCTGCTGTCTAAAGAAGTAGTGAAACACTAGAAGTAATTGAGGTGTGAGAAAAAAAAACAAACACACGATAGTTCTTGAACATGACAGATTGTTCACCTTCTAAATAGCAGTTTGACATAAAGGATATCTTCATTTTAACTACTTTAACTTTACTACTAGTAGTGCTATAAAGGAATGTTTTTTCTGAGTGGGTCCCTATTTTGTTTGGTTTCGTGCAAATGCAGCAAAAGCATGCAGGTGACATGTTACACATTTCTGCCAATATTGTCACACTATTCCACTGATCTACAAGTAGCAGCAATGCACCAATAATCACAGCAATGTTCCTGAAAAGGCTAGAAGAAGATGACTGCTAGCAAGTTAACATGGATGTAAACTACACAGGTTTCAAAATGTTTTTAAAAAATTGGCTTTGTACATTTTTTATTAGGAATAAGAAAGCATTCAACACATATTCAGGCCTCAAGGAAACAAACAATGAGTTTTGGTGAGAAATACTGCATCATAAATAAAAACGTTGCTTGTTTACAATAACACACACACACACACACACACACACACACACACACACACACACACACAGAAACACACAAACACAAACACACACACACAGCACCTGTAAGGTCCACTTTCTAACTTTTTGTCTGAGCAAACTTCCGCCACTGAAAAAGACCATGAGATGAAAGCACCAGAGAAACCTTGTAAATGGACAATAAATTACATTTTTTGTCTGTGTGTGTATGGGTGTTGAATAATGGTTGTCATGGGATACCGTTTGTTGTCAAACATTTTTTCTTGGCCATATATCTTTTTCACAGTAAAATGAACGTTGGCCGAATGTAATATAGCCTCAGTTTCAGGTTGCTGGCTTTGCACATGCTGACTCACTGTCACATTCTCATGTCTTCCTGGAGCACTTGAATATAATAGAGTCATTGTTAATGTGTTTAGCAATACTTGTGATTTTCCTGCTGTAACAAGTCAAAATATCTGCTATGAAAAAGGCCTATTAGGCCAAAACAAATGCAAATATGTTACACTACACTACAAAATATTATGCATTTATTTCGACAACATGACAATACAAATCAAACCGTATTGACTCGAGAGCATCTCGTCCATAACTAGCTTTTCCATCAGTCCTCTTGAAACAGAAAAAGGCCTGATAGAGAACCCTTGCTTGGCATTCTGTATTTTTAACCAAATTTAGATGTAAAAACAAGAGGCCCTTATCATGTGTCATTACTAGTAAAGGAAAAACCTCCTCTGTTTGATAGCTCTGATGTTGTAAAATCTTTGCCATGGCAACCTGAGAAAAGAAAAAGCACCTCCTCTCTGCTAGTATACAGCACAAAATGACATGTAACCAATAGAATTCATCCTCAGCTTCCACCCACTGAAACTTTACACAAAAACTAGAAAACACACTCACTAACTCACTAAAATGTGGGCTGAAATTACATTTGTGTCGTTTTGAAAGGACATTTAAGCCTGAGCTTACTCTACCCCCTGCTACTCATACCTGGTGATACTCAGAGAGGATGTTGTGCATTTCCTCCACCTCCTCACTGGAGATTTCTTTTATTACCAAAGTGCGGTCATAAGACGTCAGCAGCAGCCCCTCGCGTTGCCCCTCCTCGTCTTTGAGTGGAGGGCTGCGGGCCAGAGACACCTGTTGGTGAGTGAGAGGAAAAACATCATGAGCACATGAGACATCCGCTGTACAGTAAGTCTGCCCAGTGAAGCTGTTACATCTGTTATACTGGGATCCTGTTTTTAAAATCATTTTCACTGAAACACTGTAGAAATTTGTAATGCAAATCTCTACCACAAAATATTCTTAAGATTAAGATTTTGGTGGTCAAAGGTCAAAGTTCTAGGTCACGGTGACCTCACGTTCTTGTGAATGTGATATATCAGGAACACCCAGAGGGAATTTCATTACATATGGTGCAAACATTCTCTTCGTCTTAAGGATGAACTGATTAGAATTTTGTGGTCAAAGGTCAAAGGTCACTGTGACCTCACAAAACACATTTTTGTCCATAACTCGTGTATTCATACCCTAATTATGACACAGTTAGACAAAATCCTATTAGACAAAATGTCTAATAGGATAAAAAGATGAAGTGATGACATTTTATATCCAGCAGGTCAAAGGTCAACTTCACTGTGACGTCATGTTCTGCAAAAACAGCTCTGGATATTATTCAATGCTGTCACTCAGGAAGGGGAGATTGTGACCATATTTCCTGCAACTTGGCTGGTTGGTGGAGGCATACAGCTGTGAGGTGGTGATTCTAGCTTGTTATGGATCACACAGGAACATAAAAAGATGACGTTTGCACTGATGCTCACTCTGTTTTAAGACTATTCTCTTAAAACATCGTCATAGGATGACTATTCTATTCTGCAGACTTTAAAGTGCACATACAGCTTGCCTCACATCATTCTGTGCTAACCAAATGTGCACTGTGCAGAGTGGATGATGACTCTGTGTGCCACCTGGCACATGCAAATATCACACAAAGGAATGCAAATTTAGAAAGGAACAGATAAATATGTATTTTTGTGTGTCTGGTTTTAATAAGAGAAAGCACAGAAAAACCTTGAAAGTTCTGAGTTTGTGCTGTTTTTCAACCTGCTTGTTTTGTCCATGATTTTTCTGGACAATCAAACATTGATTCGAGGCAAGTTTACATTCATTACCTGATAATCTTGGTCCTCAATGCCAAAGCGCTCTCGCAGGTTTCTAAACACCTGTGGACAGTACTCTTTGAATTTGAACTGTCCAGGGAGATTCTCTCTGAGGAACAAAGAATCAATGCTTAAATGAATATTAAAAATGTGTACAATTTCACATCATTTGTCTAATGTGAAATAGCCATCACTAAAGGTTTTGTTGTCACTTTCTACATCTAAACACAGCATAAATACAATATTTCATGTTATCAAAACAATAACATGGTGACATCCCTGCTGTTTTGTGCAGCTGTTTCCATACTGATGTGCTCATTCAAAATGAATGAAATCTATTCAGAGATAGTAACCAAATCAGACAAAATAATTTCACAATGGACACTTTCATTGTTGGCTATGTCTAAATTATTCATATAACTTGACTGAATTCTTCTCAGCATACAGCTGTTTCCCTTGACTAGTTGGATAAGGTGAAACATCAAGTCATGTTTTAAAAAAAAAACAAAACACTTGCGTAAAATGTCACAGAGGCAAGGAAAACATATTTTCTTGTTCTTCCCACCTCTGTTTATAAGTCTTTACACAACCCGGATTCCTGAATGGATTAAAGGATTAATGAAAGCCACTCAGTTTTCTAGACTCCATCCTTATAGAAACTGAACCTCCCAGCAGACAGAGTGTATAGCACAGTTTTCATAAACAGTAATGATTTTGTAGCGTACTATATCTGGCACCTTTGTCCTACTGACACTCTGTGAGCCCTGCAACATCTTCAGATGAGTTCATTTATTATTCGTCTGGCACCTATTAATGCTGTGGTGTTATTCAACCTCTGAAGCAGCTCATTGGATGGCTATTATGCTGCATTTCCAACTTTAGTATACGATATCATTCTTTTGCATGGCATTAACAGTACGGCATATTTCAGGCTGTAGTCCATACAAGCTCACATTTGATTTCTTTCATCTTTTTTTGGCTGATGCCGCCGTTATTGTTAGTGGTAATAGCTGGAGCTGTGAGAGTGTTAAAACTATTGTTGGTGGAGAAAATCATTGTCGTCCTCTGAAGGGGTCTGCAAATTTCTGATAAGCACAGGCAGGCAAATAAATCACAAAAGCTACAAAAATCTGTGCAAGTGACAGGAAGCAGGATGAAGGGTCATAGAGTCAGGCAGACAGAGCTGGAGAGAGTGGAGCACAGTACTTGTTAAAGAGGTGGTTGTTGACTTTTATCTTGGTGCTGGCTTTGAAGTTGTCTGGGAGCAGCATGACGGGCACAGGCACCTGGTTCAGGTCATTAATCTGCAATGATCAATGGATGAATAGTTCAGGGACATATCCTCACTCAGACCGACATGAATACACATTTGGCCTCAATAAGCAGCTCACATACCTACCGAATGATTGACTCCCCACATCAGCACGCTCAGCACGGGGTCACTGGCTCGGAAAACCTCCACTTTCTGCTGCACAAAGTGTTTCTTCTTGGTCTTCCGTTTGGACGCCAGAGAGTTCAGAGGATTGGAGGCGGCGCTGGGAGAAGACATCGCGCTTTCACAGGTGTCCGAGCGTCAGGTCTGTGAGCAGGGCTTCTGCTGTCATCTGTAGAGTCCCGTGTATGTAAAGTAGTCTGAAGTCCGCCCTGTGGAGTCTCTGCAGCAACAGCAGCAGCCTGTTGGCGCTATGAACCAACTTCTGCGGGACCAGAGACTTAGCTGTGGGCTACTGTCAGTATGATGATACAATAGGCAAAAAATAATAATCTCACCTCATTCATGCATGTGATGTGTGACTGGTTTGGAACTGGAGATGACAGAAGGCTTTATTCCTGCAACCACCACCACCACCACCACCACCACCACCAACAACAACAACAACAACAACAACAACAATAATAATAATAATAATAATAATATGAGAATCAGTGGTGGAAGTAAAAGTACCAATACAACAATGTAAAAATACATTCATTCACTCAATACAAGTAAAAGTCCTGCATTAAAAATCCAACTTTTGTAAAAGTACATAAGTATTTGCAGCAAATGTAGTTGAAGTATTAAAGTAAAAGTACCGGTGTGGTCCCTCTGACTGCTATGTTATCATTTGTTTCATCATTTGATGATTAATGCTGAAGCATCAGTGTGTAAGCAGTATGTTACTGTTGTAGCTTGGATTTTATATACAGTTTTACAGCCAGGAACAGGGACACCAGATAAATCTGAGGGGTGGTGAGATGATTAATGGGAAAAGAAAGAAGAAAAAACAGTGTTCTGATACACAAATCTGTTTTCAGTTTTTGGACTTTTTGTGTGTGAGTGTCCAGTATTTCACAAGAAAAGCATGAATTAGAAGAAAGTTCAGAGAAGTAGTTCAGAGAAACACAATTTTGCATAATATTTTTTTTTTCAGTTTTTCATTTTTTTCTATCGTTTCCCCCTGGAGTTTATCTTGGGACCAGCACTGTAAGGTCTTTCTTCTATGTATCTAAATGTTCTGGGCAGAGATCCAATAGAACAGGGCTGTTGTATTGGATTCTGTTGCAATATGTAGGTGTTTCTATTTTTCTGTCACTCAGTGTAATCATGGTCTCAACGCTGCAGTATAAGTCATTATATTGAGGGGCTTTCTGCATCTATAATGAAGCGGATACCTGACCCCATCCCTCACTGTCATATTGCTTTACTGCAGCCAAACATTTGTTCTCTCCATAATGGTTACAGGAGGCTCCAAAATGCTGAGACTTTACAATCTTTCAGACATTATAAGCAGGTGTGCAGGTTACTGATAAAAATACCTTTTGCTAACTGACACTCACAGTTCTGTAGTCATGTTACATGTTATCTGTTACCGTCAATCATGCATCTAGCCACGTGTGAGATTCTTATCCTGAGAAGTCTTGCAAGTTTTGCCTTATGCTTCATCTAATGGACTAGATGGAATTTACTTTGTGAGAAAATTTATTTTTATTTCCAAAAAATTATAACTCAGTGATTTTTATTCTTTATTATAACAATTCAGATACTCAACAATAAAACAGATGAAGTCTGTTAAGGAATATTTCATAATACTGTCCATCTGTATTGGTCTTAAGTTTGTATTCTTTTTAAAATCACTTCCTCCTTCCTTCTTACGTGAATCTAAATCTAAACCTAATAGCCAAAGGATAAAAAAAACAAAACAATGCTGCCATGTAAGTTTGTGCTTACAAACATAGAAATGTCTAGTGTTTGCTCTTATGGAAGATTCAAAGTAGTGGAAATAACATAATACTATAAATAAAATACCATATTCAAAGTAACATAAATAGGATTACATCTATAGATTATGTACAGAAATTACAGTAATACAGTTACAGTGGTTTCAAAGTAAAAAAGAAATACTGAAAAATATATAAATAGGATTGAGTACATACAAAAGACTAAACTACACCTGAACCTTATGTATGATATACTGTATATACAGTAATGTAAAAAAAAAAAAAACATGTTTCCAACTATTCCTATATAGAAAACTTGTAATCAGATAAAATGTTAAAATCTTGAAACTTAGAAGTAAACCCCTTGAATATGTGCAGCCCAGACTGTAGGTGCAGTTCCTGAAAGTTATTGCAGAGTTAAATGAGGAGACAGGTTGTCTCTGTAGGATGTCTCGCTCCAATGTGACACGTCAGATGAAGACAGTCTTGATATGTTCAGTAGAGGGCGCAAGGAGACAAAGATACACCTGATTTTGAAACAGATTTTCATTGGTGGAGAGCTGCTTCTGGCGGATGGAGAGTGAAAAGTGAGGCACCATTTTCACTTCCTTTAAACTCTGTGTGGTGTTCCTTCATCTTTATCTCATACTGGTAACGAAGCTGCAGCCTGCTCTGCTTTAGTCCAGGCTTTATGCATTTTAACAACTCAGGCTGCCTTTCTGTTTGGTGTTTGAGGAGACCGGCATGCCGTTCTCGTCCACACACCAACACTTGCCACGCTGCTTACCTCGTGACGACCAACACTGCACAAACAGAGCAAGCAAACAGACAGTGAAGCTTTCATGTGGAGCTGCAAATACAACCACACCTCCAACCACATGATATTGTTTCAGTGATTTCTTGTAGTGCATCTTAGATTAAACTCACCTGCTTCTTTCTGAAGAAACCACGCTTGTCACAGTTGGGCATGTAGATATCATGATTTGACTTAAATAAATGGGCATCCAGACCTTGGATGAGATTTGTTAGCAGCTTACGACATGGCGCCTGTAGGAAGGGTTCAACAGATACATGTAAGTGCATGTCTGATTCCAGGTTAGTGATGTACTGTTTCACTGAAGCAGATGAAGAGTTTTTTTTTTTTTACCTCCTCTGGATCCTCAGTGGGTCCTGGATCTAGAATTAGAAATAGGCGTAAATATTTAGCATCTATCACTTATTACCATGTGAATATTGGAAGTGGAACAACACAAAATTCCTTTGACTGTGAGGTCAGCTCCAATTACTCTTTTTTTATTAACTCCTCAAAAACTCAAAAAACTGTCACTGAGCCATAAAAGCATTTTTCACTGCATCTCTCTCTTCTGATATTTTTATTTCCCAGCTGCTGCAGGACTAAGCAGTTGAGCCATGGAAAAAAAAATTAAAAACAAGGGTGTTTCTCTGTTCAGATTTTCTCTTGACCATAACAAACTCATAATCATGTCACAGGGAGATTTGTTGAATATCCCTATGTTGATTTAAAGTGAAATTAAAGTATGTAACCCTGTCAAAAATCCACAAATAAAATCAGCAAAGGGTGAGATGAAGCTGAAAATCCACCACTGTGTCTCACCCACTGAACAACTCTGCTTCATCCATGCGTTCACATCACCATCCAGCCATAAAGTGCTGTGTGGGACTTACCTGCAGTGTTGGTCTGTTCAGTCGGGTTGGCGCTGCTGGCATTACTGCAGACTCCTTTGCCCTCCAGCAGGGCACGGAGAGGCCTCGGCTCATCCTCTGGAGGTGCACAACGCAGACCGTGGGCACAGCTCACTGTGTAGACCCCACATGGTTCTCCAACAGCCAGAACGGTGGTGTTGAAATCTACAGACGGCTGACTCTGTGAGGTCTTTGCTTTACAGCCGGGACATCCTCTGGACGGTGTGGTCAGCGGCAATGGGCTTGACAGAGCCGGCTGCAGGAGGAGCAGCACCAGGATGTTTAAATACAGAAGCATCTTACTCTGAAAGTTGTCCACTAATAGATGTTAACAGTCCAGTCTCTGTTTTCTATTAAGACTTCCTATTCTAACTCTGTTCCCTGTTTTGCACTATCTCTGTTTAGTTCCACAGACTGCAGTTTGTCTGTGTGTCAAAAGGGTTATATAATTCCCTCAAGCCAAGACAAAGTGATAATGAGGCTGACAGACACCACTGGCAGCAGCTTTTAAAGAGCCCAAACCAGCGGGGAAAGGTATGGGAGGGTACGTGATGGAGAATGTTAGCTTTCCTTCTCATTTCCACACAGCAGAGCACACCCCGTTTCCCCTTGTCTCTGACACATACACACTCACGCATGCTCATACCATTTGTTGTTTGTCATCCTGCAGGATAGTAATGTTTTTCTCCACTGATTGCTGTGTGTGCTGCTCCGTTGCTCTCTCTTTGAGGATAATTCATTTCCAGAGCTGACACTTTCATGTGACCAACTAATTGTAACTCAGCAGATAAGAAATTCACTGTTGATGTTTTTTTAAACTATTGCTGGTGATAATAAAAAATATATGCTTTCCATCAGAATTTAAAAGAAAATCTCTTATAATCAGTCACCAGTAATTGAAATTGAGAACTTAAATCATCAACTCCAGTATAAATAAGTACAACTTAAAACAACTTAAATCTCAGTATATTTATTCAAGTTCAGAATATGTAATCTTACAGTAGAAATTTACTTAAATACTTCCATTTTAAGCTGCTCAATATTTTTATTCCACTACAAATATACTAAAGTTTTTGCATACAATATCTATAAGAGATTATTGAATATGATCGAATGTAGCTCAACCTCACTCAAGTATAACTTTAAAATGTTTTATACAGCAAATCGTCCAACAATCAGTTAAAAACATTGATTAGAAATGTATAGATAAACTAGTTGGCCTCATAAAGTATTCAGAATAAGGCAACTATGGAAAAGAAAACTACCCAGTTACAACAATGGGAGTAAGAGTATTTAGTTACTTCCACCTTGTTTTTGACTTTATGACTTTTCTTTAAATAGCAACCACTTAACAAACACTTTGCTGACAGCATGGATTTACAAAGTCTGTAACTTCAGGGCTAAAGGTTCAGAGGAGTTGGTCGACTCTGAGAGGCTGAAGGAGTGCCACTCAAGGCTGGATGACTAAGACATTAATAGCCACGAGCAAAAAGTCCCACCCTGTAAATTCCACCATGTGTGAGTCACAAACACATTAAATTAGAAAACAGGATCACAAAGATCTGGCAGCCCGTCTTCTAACCTGTTGTACCTGACCTCTGATAATGTCGATGAGAATACAGTGTAAGTGGAAACATGGCCTTATATTAGTCACGTACAGTAAAGGTACACAGGCAGCTCATAGATTTTGGTAATTATTTATATGTTTTGGTGTATTAGGACTTGTTGATAATAGTGATTCCATTGGTAGTTTTGCTTCAGTGTGATGAGGCACCTTGGTTAATCACTAGAAGCAAAAAGTCACACTTCTTTTTTAAATCAATAAATATTTTCTTATTTCAATTTCTACAAAATTTACTACATAATATTATATGTTAAAGATGAAATGATTAGCTGAGTAAACAACAAGATGAGCAGCAGGGCATAAATTGGCAACTATTTTGATGTTAGCTCGGGCCCTAGGAAATTGCGGTGGGCAAAAATAATTGTCATATTAATTGATATTGAAAATAATGTATTTGCTACCATAGTATATACACATACAGTTCTGTGTAAAGGTTTTAGGCACTTAAGATGTTTAAATTCTTGTCTATCACACAACACAATCGGAGTGGTGTCTGATTGCTCCTAAATGAATTCTGCTGCAGGACAACAAGCCAAACACACAGCCAGAGTTATAAAGAACTATCTTCAGAGACATAAGAACAAGGAGTCCTGCAACAGAGGATCTGGCCTCTAAAAAGCCCTGATGTAAGCATCAGGAAGTCAGTCTGGGATACATGAAGAGACAGAAGACACTGAGACATACAATACCCCTAGTGTCAGTTACTAATAAATACATATAAAACACATATGGTCACCTTGAAAGGGCCATACTGCATCACTTGGAGAGGAATTTTTGGGTGCCAAATGACTCTACTTTAGTTGATGAGGTGATGAGGTGGTGACAGTTCTTTTCTTTATGCTTATCCCAGACTATTTCTAAGGCAAATTTAAATGGAACATCCTTCTTTTTGTGCCCTCAAAGCAGGATTTCAGGCTACTCTGTGGGGCCTTACCGAAACTAAAACAAGAGCTACCTCATTAAATCAAACTGCAGTGAGTAGACAGTAGATAGCCCTCCCAAGCACTAAAGTGTACATTTTTATTAGGCTACTGTCCAAAATAAAAAAGCTTTCATAAAAGTAAGTTTGAGTTTCCATATTTTTTGTGTGAATAGTCTTTTAAGGTAGATGTATATGTACTCATGTCAAATACATGTAAAAGGCCTATGTGGAACATAAGCTGTGTAACCAAAGACACTCACACACGGCACTGCATAGGTTAAGGACCTCACGCTGTATTTTCCTCTGCTGTGATTGGTTAAGAAGGCGGGACTTCCGACAGCGCAGGTTGGACATAAAGTGACAGACTTCACCTCCTTAAAATTGGAAGAAAACCCGGAGGACGATGCGTTACAAGTTTTAAAACAGTAAGGAATCAATATAAGACAACGGGGCTTTGAACAGTGTGGTATGTGAGGTACATTCGTGTTTACATGATTTTATTAGCCATACAGCGCGACAACGTTGAGACACTGAAAACAGCTAGCCGGCCAACCGAGTCCTCCCTGTAGTTTGGGAAATGTGTTGCTACGTTTGTGGTTGGCTCGTAAATTGGTAAATCCTAGAAGTGAACACGCAACAAATAACAATATGAGGTGATAGTTCGCTTTTTTGTTTACTTTGTTGAAACACTTTACTTGTTAGATCCTCAACTATGTTATTCAGTCGTATTCGGTCTGGTGACTTCTTTCATCATCATTCACTAAGATGAGGCCATAATTTGTTTTCACTGCTCATGTTTTAAGACGAACCGAAAACATTTTCAGGCTTTTACCAACCAAACTAGCCCGTTACCATAGTGTAATGATCCACCTTTAATCCAGTGGAAGTAAAAAAAAAACAACCCACCCACTTAGGTACTTTAGTATTGAGTGATGAATTTGAATGGAACAACAAAACTGTAAAGGTGCGTTTACCTGAGTCACCCTGGCTACGTCATAACCTGACACAGGAAAAGCATAACAGGTTACACATGTACAATGGTGGAAGATGTACTCACACCTAACGCAGTTAAAAGTAAGAGTCATGCATTCAAAATGTTATTAAAGTCAAATTACATAAGTATTGGGATCAAAATATAATTATATAGGTACTATATAAGGTATATATAAGTACTATAATTAAAAGTAGGCTATTTATCATGTACTCAGTATTTATTATGCAGAATGGCCCATTCAGAATAATATATATTATTAAGTACATATAATATTAAACTTATCCGATGAATGTAGTCGAGTAAAAAGTAGAATATTTTCTTCTGAAATGTTGAGCAGTAGAGGTATAAAGTAATAGTAAAATTGAAATACTCAAGAAAAACAAAAGTATCTCAAAATTGTACTTAAGTATAATGCACATCATACTGCATCAGTGTAGAGATGAAAAAATAGACAGACAAAAAATTGACAGAAAATAATCAACAATTACTCTGATGATTGTTTAATTATTTATTAAAGTAATTTATCAAACAAAATTGCCAAATTCTCTAGTTCCAGTTTTTCAATTTTGTGGATTACCCGTTTTATTCCACAGTAAATGCAGAATATTTTTAGGCAGATAAACTGTTTAATGTCACGACCTTGGTGTTAGAAAATTGTGACAGATATTCTTCACTACTTTCTGGCATTTTATGGACTAAATTATTAATGGGTTAATCGAGAAAATAATCACAATGCTGAAGTTACCCATAAAGCGGTCACTTCTAGGCCTATACTGGCTGTTATCAGGCAGTGTCGGCTGAGAGCCAGCCAGATTATCTGTGTGTAGTGTCTGACTATCATGCTAGTCTAGACCAGACTTGGGGTGAGGACCGAGGTGTATAGTGGGCCAGAAAAGACACTATATGTGGCCCAAGTTTTGGCTAGAAAAATGTTACTGTGTGGGTAGCTTCTGATTTGGCACTTAAGGTGAAAGTGAGGTTTCCTAACCAGACCACATCACACCAGGTCTAAATCAAAAACCACTCTACCTAGACTTGTCAAATCTGAACTAAAATAACCAAGAGAAGCTAAAGACTGTTTAAAACATCTGATTATCAGCTGCGACAGCGTGTGGCTGGTATTTTCATCTTGTGTGTATGTGTGTCGTCATGGCGAAATGTGGTCATGAGACACCTACTGTAGCGGAAACTACCACAGAGGTGGCTTTGAGTACTTTGGCAGGTGTTAATACGGCTGATTTTGTCACCATGATAGTGTCACAACTGTGCAAGATACAGTCATGAAACTTTCCAGACGTGTAGTTGAAATCAAAATTAAAGACAAGTTTGAAGATAGGTGTGGTCTGACCCATAAATACTGACTAATGTAGTAGTAACTACTGAGTACTCATGGGTCGAAACATCAACATGTTGACAGGTGTCATGGCTGGTGTGATCCCATCTCCAGTTTATTTGTGAAAGTAAAAAAATGTCAAAGTAACTCTTTCATCCCCCATCTAGGCCACATCAGACCACTTCTAGATCAAAGAACACTATACCTGAGTTGTCACGTTTGGAGTAGATTAACCTTAGATTAAAGTCTGTTTCAGATTTGTGAAATCTTTTATTGCTTTATCTAAAAAGAACAGTGAAATAGCCCTATTTGTGTTTTCGCAAATGAAACAAAAGGTTTTAAATGAGAGACCATCTTGTGTTGGAATCACACCAGCCACGACGCCCATCGACTCACACTCACAAGGTGAAAACAATACCAGCCACGCTGCTGTGGATGTTAAAAAGGTTTCACAAATCTGAAAATGTGTTTTAGCCAGTGATGAAGATTTAACTAGTTTGCTAAATTTAACTGCCGAAACTGAAGCTGCACATCAGAAGGTGTGTGTGTGTGTGTGTGTGTGTGTGTGTGTGTGTGTGTGTGTGTGTGTGTGTGTGTGTGTGTGTGTGTGTGTGTGTGTGTGTGTGTATTGATTTCAAATGTTAGAGACACCAAACAGTCTGGGTGTCTCCCATACACTGACATTAATAGAAGAGCTGGTCTAAGCTTGAGTCAGTCCCAGATTGCATTGGGGTGGAAGACACCCAAGGGAGGTACCTGACCATCACAGGCCTAACACAAATAGGGGACTCACGTTCCTGCCTCTTGGCAGTGTACAGTCACTGTCCAGGCCTTTGCTTGTCTGTGGAATGTGGGATTAAACGTAAATGGAAAAACACAAACGCAAACACAAAGGGTTTGGCCTGAGGATCAAACCTAGGCCTTTCTTGTTGTCAGGCAACAGTGGTAACCATGTTGTGGTCAGAGATGTTTGCTCTCCTTCCGCTTACAGCTTTTATGACTGCACTGACATTTCATTGTTCCAGAGTTGTTTACCACGATTGCTCTGCTTGTTGTGTGCGTCAATAGTGGAAGCATCACTGAAGTTCAGACTCAAAATCACTTTCATTAGACTGCATCTTGTCTTGTGCATTAATTTAAGTGATGATTTTTTTTTTACACTAAATTATGTTGACTGAGCAATCACTAGAATCTTTGTCTTGTGTCTTAAGAATAATTATTTAATGTTAGTTGGCCTGTTTTTTTCAAGGTAACATTCTCGAAAGCAGTAATCAATCTGATTAGTTTCCCTGTGTCCTAGATTGTAATGATTTTCAGACATGGACGACATAAACCTTCATTATCGCTTTCTCAACTGGAGGAGGCGAATCCGAGAAATTCGTGAGGTGCGAGCAGTGCGATACAAGGAGCGGCTCAAAAGGATGCTGAGAGACGGAGACATACTTAGGTAACGGTGATGAGCAATGCCAGCACGAGAGGTCAAACTGGAGACATTTCTTAGTCATGTGGTTCATTCCCAGATTTTATGCTAGAGCCCTTCCTTTGCCTGCTGAATCAGCATCCCACTTTGCTTGTGTTTGGCAGAAGTGACATTTTTGTTTTTCTTTTTGGATCTCTTTGTAGGTATCATGGGAATTCAGATGAAGTTGGCTGTTTTGTTGCAGCCAGACCGTTGTCGAGAAGAAATCGCTATTTTGAAGTAAGAGTTTGATGATTTCCTCTCAGTTCATGACTATTAATATGACACAGAAGTGACACACAAAAAAAAAACAATCAAGGAAAGGTTACTGCTACACAAGTTATTTTCTGATCTACTTTCACATGAAAGTTTCCTGGCTTCACTGCTTGACTCTGCATCATGAATTTGGCCTACATATCTCATAATTAGGACAGAATCTCAAACTGTAACTCTAGCCCAGTAACTCTAGTTCTAATTAGCTGGATCTTCTTTCATCTACCACAGGATGTAGCTGACTCATTTGTTCTCACATTGTTGGTTTACTGTAAGTGTAATATTCTGCTGTGCAAATCTAAGCTTGAGAATTTTGACTAAATTAAATGTGTGAACAAATAGCTTTTTTTGTGTGATATTGATGGACACCTACTGTCCCACAATGCAATGCATGCCTCAGAACTGAAAATAATTTTTAACTTTGGACTACCAGGTTCAGCACAAGATACAAACTTAAAAATAAAGTATTCACATTTAGTAAAGAGTGATCGGTATCCTTTGTCGCACATCTCTGGTTTCATTTCCAGTGAGTAGAAAGTGATGAAGTGCATTTATTTCTTGTACTAACTGTCAAAACAGTACACCATTAAGATAAGCATGCAGTGTTAACTGTATTGCGTTAGTATATATTATTGATGTAGGACACCACCTTCATTCTGTGTGATGAGAGGAGACTTGGCAGGCCGTCGCGTCTGACTGCTCGCCTTCATCTTCTTGAACCATAATGGAAAAGAAATCATGAACTCTCCTGGGAATAGTGCGCATCTGAGAAACAAAGACCTTTCAGCTTGGAAATAGATTTGTGGAATTACTTGGCAGCTCTTTTTACATTGTGTGCTTGGCCTGGGTGTGCAGTAATTGCTGATTTGTTCAAGTCAAAGACACCGAAATCATTTACGCCAGAGTCAGAAGCATACTCAGCAATTAAGTCTCAGTACCAACACAGAAATGAGCAAATATCAATTTTTAAAATTCAGACAGGTTTTCCTCTGCCTGCTGAGGCTTGCCTGGCAAATCTGTATTTATATCTTGAGCAGCTTTGATGTTGAGTTACTGTTCAGTCAATATACCAGATTCAATTAGGGTTAAAAATATTGTGATGTTTTTTGATCGTATCACTTTATTGCAAAGCCTAGGTACAAGTGGAGGCAGCAATGTATTTTTGGATCAGAGAAGAAACCTGAAAAAAACGAATTAGGATGATCTTTAGTGTCGGTTAGAGGAGTCACTAGGATCACGCTCATGTTCCGTTTTTCTGTAGAAAACTCATGCTACATGCTCCAGACAGTCAATTACATCATAAACAAGTGAAGCAATCTTAATAATTTGAAAATCTTAGTCATTTTTAAAACAGTGAGTCCTTGATTTCAAACAGTTGTCTCTGCTTTCTTTTTAGCTAATGTTTCCAGATGGCTGTCATTGTAAAACAAAAACCCAGCAAAATGAGGTCTTAAGTGTGCAGTTGATGGCTGCATACATGATGTTGTTGGAAAAGGCCAGCAACAAGTCATAGCTGCTGCTCTGGGGCTAAAATGTACCAGACTTTGCTGTTGACACCAGTGCACTCAGATTCTGACCCTTTGTTTGAAAACTGCTTCAGCCAGCAGCCAGTAAAACTCCTGTGATCCTGTCAGTAGGGTCAGCACTCTACTGTATACTCCGACAGAAAAAAAAAAAGAAGAAAGTGCATTAACAGCTGCTGCACACACAGATACAGTGTGTTTAAGTTTCAGTGGTACTTTTCTACAGACTTGGCTCTCTTATCTCAGCCCTGACAGACTGCTTTCACGGAGCCAAAGAAGTCGCAGCTCATTACAAATCATGTGCTGGTTTGTTTATTTTACTGTTTTTGGTAATCTAGACGCTGACGTGAACAAACATCTGAAGACAGTGGCCGTTTCTCAGAAGTAGCCATGTTCAAACTTGCCTAACACACACATCGGATGTGTAGTGAAACAGCAACAGCAACCTTTATACTTACGTATGCTTCATGCTACGTGACTCACTTTGTGGGAGTCACGTAGGAGGAGGGAGGAAGCAATTTACGTAAATGGGGTTTATGAGCTAATACATGATAGTTAAGTGGATGCTGATTGTTGATCTGACGGTAGATTTTACAGATCATCTGCATGTTTTACACTGACACAGAAAAAAAGGGACGTATTCCCTCTCCCTCTCCGGAGACCACTGCTGAGGTCATGGGAAAGAACTTAAAAATTTCCTGCTCTGCTTGCCCTGGATTTGACAGCAGTGCTCTGGTTGCAATGCGTCCATCTAGGGCTCCCTGGGGATGATGTCATATGGTCAGTATTCAGTTATGATAACAATGGTGCAGGCTAGCTCTTTGCTTCAGGGTTTTTACTTTGATCCATCATGTGTGTACAGAGTGAAACTACACAGTTTCAAGTTGATTTGGAAATTCAGTGAGGTGAAAAGAGAAGCAGGGCCGACCCAAAATTGAAATACAATGTAAGTGCCTGTAAAAGTTTGGGGTGGAGCCTGAAGGAGTAGAAACAGCAATAAACCTGCAGCACTCAAAAGGGCATTTAGAAACTTTTTGTGTTCATCTTATATGATTTTCCTCCCATCAGATCTGTAAAACTATAAAACTGGGAGGTAGATTACAGTCGACCACTTTGAATGAAACCAACAACTGCAAAATAGTATTTATCCAGTCCTTTAGTTCATGACTAATGACATTCCCATGAGCCTCATCTCTATACTTTGTGTTTAGTGCTAATTAGCAAATGTCAGCACACAACATATAAAAAAAAGTGTATAAATATATTACTTTTCACAACATAACATCAATGTAAACACTTAATTCATCACAGTGGCTGACTCATGTTTTTAAGACATCGTCCACCACAATAAAAATAAAATCAATTCTGATAAAAAAAAGAAAAGAAAAAAAAGAAAGGAAAAAAAGACATGTCCTTCACCTCGACTTCACCCCTCTCCTCCGCCTCCTCACGATCAACAAAGTTTGTTCTGCTTATGCACTCTCACAATGCAACAGCCTCCCACAGATAATGTGTTATGACTCGTAGCTCTGGATGTGAAAACAGCTTCCTTTAAGTTCTAGGTTGGCGTCTGAAGATGTGTCAGAGGATGGATAAAATGACTACTCACATTATTTAAAAGAAATATTAATATCTACAGCTTCTGCCCTCCTTGTGATGCTCAAGTCTGCTAACGCCATGTTGTTTAAAGACTATAAGGAGACACTTCCAAGTAAAGTTTGACACATTACTGTGAATTTGGGGAAAATCTGTTTTTGTCCTTGGAGTCCTTTTTAAAAGAGAAAAGTTATTTCAAAAGGAAGAGGGTTTTAAACTGCAGTGAAAACTCCTCTCTTGTTCTTTGGTGATGAAATCAACCTGTGGTCTTTGCAGGTGACCATCGTCGATACAGGAGTGAGGGGGATGATCGCCGTTGGTTTGGTGCCACAGCTCTACAAACTGGACCATCAGCCGGGCTGGCTCCCACACTCTGTGGCTTTTCATGCTGATGATGGCAAGTATGTGTCACTGATCATTTCATTTACATACACTGTAGACTGAATGTAATAATGTTATACATCCGATGTAGGGATCTCACATCCCCACAGAACGCTTAGTCTGTTCACGTAACAGACTGAGGAACCGAGAGCAGAGCACTCTTGTCTGTTTACGAAGGGTTCTGTTGAATAAATTTGGAAAGGTCGTGAAAGGGCACACTTTCATATTTAATGTTCAGTTCTCAGAAACTGTTTACTACTTTTAGTAAGAGCTTTGTCAGTCAGCGTGAGAGCGCAATACTTGGTCTGATGTTTTAGGAACTGGACCAAATATAGAGAAGCTGCTCATTTATGCTGGACTGGCCCTTTAGAGTAGCTGTAGTGATGTGACAAACACCAGGATTTATTGTACAATTGAGAGGGTTTCCTCTGGGTTTGCTGGTATTTATAAGAATATGCTGTAAATTGATATGAGTTCATTACAACACAGTAACACTTCCCCTAAAAAAAGTCGCACAGTGCTGGGAACTGAAAGGAACCAATATCACACAAGCACTATTGGCTTCATCACAGGGAAGTCAGATATAAAAGGCATGGGACCAAGTTACAATAGTAGTTTTTGATATAATAAAGCTTGGGGTCATTATTTTTGATGCATTCATTAGAGCTCAAACAGTAGAGAGAGGACAGGAAGCAAAGGTCTCTGGCTAGATTCAAATCGTGGATGTTCTGGTTCATGGTACAGCACCTTACACCCTCAGGTCACCAGGATGCCCCAATATTTTAGATTTTTATTCAAAAATCCAGAATTCATCAATGATTTTTATGCATATGAAATTTGACTCAGAATTCAGTTTTATATAAATCCAGGTCAAAAGTTGTATAGTTTTCTTTATTTACTGAGAGAGAGTTCGCGTCAATGAGCGGCGGATTATCTGCCATTTTTAGTTTCATTTTCTATTAGTGGAAGTATTTTCTGAGTGTCCTTTGATGTTTTTCTGTGAACATCTGCAAAATCTTCCTTCGCCATTCAGCCTCTCAAGAATATGTCTTTCCGCAGGCTGTATAATGGCAACACTGTGGGACAGCAGTTTGGTCCAAAATGCTGCCGAGGCGACAGAATCGGCTGTGGAATCTCTCTGGACTCCGACGATGGACAGCTGACAGTGTTTTTTACCAAGAATGGTAAAGAAGTAAGTACTCCATTACCATCGTATTACTTTAACTCACACCGAACGTATTCAGCCAGTGCAAGTCTACAAGTGAATTTGTTTTTTCTTTTCCCCAACAATACTGTATCTGAATGTGTCCTCAGGTTGGCAATGTGGAAATCCCAGCATCTCCTGAAGCTCTCTACCCCGCTGTGGGAATGCACTCTTTGGGGGAGGAAGTTCTGCTGGACCTGAACGCTGAGTGGGGGATGGAAGATGATGATGGACAGATGATTGTAGACAGTCATGAAGAGGACTGGGGCCGTCTCCATGACGTCAAGGTGATTGGCACGGTAAGTCCTAGAGCATAGAGAAGAATAAGATATATAAAACTTGGACATCATTTTTACTGAAGTTTTTACCAAGTTTATTGCGAATAAAGGTCACACAAACTTTGAAAGGTTGTCTCCCTCACGAAGGTGCATGCTGTGTAATGATTGGCTGATATCAGTGCGTGGATGAACCAGAGAATCTGCACACACCAGATTATTGTTCTACAGTACATCAGCAAGGTTTAATTAAGGTTGGCTGCTAATGTTTGAGGTTTGACTCCTTTTATCAATCAAGTAGTTCAATCAAATTTTGCCTACCAAAGGTTTTGGTTATACTGGGAAAAAAAGAGTCCATTTAATTTACGTCAGCATTTAAAGGTTTAACTACGAAATATCCAGGTAGTTTGAACATCCCAAACTCTGTGTGCTGGGTTTCATAATGTGAAAAAAAGGTGTAAAAAGCCTTTTGTGGCTCCAGATGGAGCTGCACGATATCTAACATCGGTTAGGGCTCACGGCTGCAAATTTGAAAATTTAAAAAACCTTTGGGTGTGGCGTTAGAAAGAGGAGCCTGCTCCTCATCTCTGCTTGACGTTCCCAGTTTGAGGCTACATTAACTGTTTCCTAGCATAACACTTCAAATCTCCAACCAAACTGCTGGCAGTTAGAGTTGCATTGTGGGTAATGTAGGTGCCATGTTTTGCCAAGGAAGAAGAATGTGTGGAATAAAAAAGACCATATCTCTGGTTCTGCTACATTGATTTTGATCCTTTTTTTAAAAAAACTGTCCACTGTGAGGCAGACAGTGATATAGGAGTGCAGTGCTAAATTGAGGGAGTACTCTTTTAACCAAGACTTTCTGAAGAACCTTGACCCTACATCTAACCCTAGCCCTGTATATTCTGGCTAAAATGTCCACAACCTGGCACACACAGATTCTTACCAAGTCCGCCTCCAAACGTCTCAGTTAGCTTAATGCAGAATTGTTGCTGTGATTAAATGCAACAAGAATTTATCAAAACATCTCTTAGACTAGTTGTAAAACTAATGTTGATAGATCAACACAGAAATTCAGACATAAATATTAGCTGTTGCTAAGCACCTGATAAAAGATTAAGATAGAAAGAGATAACCAAAAATAAAAATGTTTTTCTCAGAGGTGTTCATTGACCTCTCTCTCCCCCTCTATTTGTTTGGGTCTCCACCCCTCCCTGTGACAGCAGGGCTACAGTGTTTGTGTCTGACTCAGGCGCTGATACACACGAAACCTGAACTGAAAGAGGATGGGAGGAGATCGCAGCTGAGTAGCCCTCAGGCAGGAGCGAGTAACCTGCATGCCACCCGCACATTTATTTACCCTTTATTTCTACAAATCTGGCCCTGTCCTGTGTGAAGGTAGGGCCCACAAACCGCAGTCTGAACTTCCTGCAGGTCATCAATTACACAAGTGCACGTGTTACATGAAAGCTCTTAGGGCAGAAAAAAACAAAAAGTTACAGTCAATTTCAAGTTGTTATTGTGCATCCTAGTTACTGAGCTCCTTTTTCTGCTAGAGCCTCATTTGCAGTTCCTTTTTCATTTGTCCAATCAATACCTTCAAGGGTTATTCTTTTTGAATTTGCTGACACTTGTGATTGCATGTTAGGTCAGGCGTTTGTTGGACCCTGGTTTAAAATCTTGACATGCAGGTGTGGTAAACACTCATGTTTATTAAGACAGACGAAATCCAATATTGGCTACAAATATACTGTGACTGGCACAGCTGTTTACAGATTAGTAAGTGATTTACTGTCAGCTTTTATCCACATGAAGTGAGCTGCAGTATCAACACCAGAGTGGCTGTTTACCTCTTGAGGTTGTGCTTACATACTAAAAAAAGAAAGATGAGGAGGTGTATTAAGAAAACACAAGTTCTTCAGAAATGAATCAGTCTGTAAATGCTTATGACTGAGACTTAAAATGCAGTTTATTTATTAGAAGTAGGTTTATACTGATGCACCTGTTCATATGTGTATCTTAGGTGTTGTTATTGATGCCGAAGCGATAGTGGTTTAAAGTGGGAATCACCAATCAATCATCATTTTTAAACACTATTGGTCTATTTCTGAAATCTCATGCAGTCTGCTTTTAATTATGAAAGAACAGTGAAATTAGGGAAATCTGCAACTATATTTATAATGAGATGTTGGGCAAAACAGCCTGGACACTCATGGAATACAATAGGCTTTGTTTTGACTAATGCAGTTATCTTCAGATGGGCATATTATGGGCCCATGTGTTCATCCACTGCTCTGACATTTAGAAAGGTCACTCTGGAAAGGATTCAGTTTTGGTGGTGTTGATTTCCTGTGCTGCGTGTCGTAAACAGTTATGTTGTCCTTGTTGCCTTAGCTTTGCTTTTAGTACCCAAACAGTACAGTGCAGGGAGAACAAGTCCAAATCCTGCCCTATTTTTCCAAGAAAGAATTGCATGCCGTTGCGACCTATTTTTTCATCTCATCATCTAACATCCCTAATAGGGTAACGTGTGAATAAAACATGCCCTTTCATTTTGTTGGATTCTGGTCTGTCCCAACCTGAGGAGGAGGCAGCAGCTATGCCAGTGCAGACATGCTATCAATACCAGTGAAGTGCAGGTATCTGTTTGGAGGAACTGAGATGTTTTTGAGTCATTATGATCATTTCAACAACGTCCACCTGTGGTTTCACACAGTCCAGCTGACACACCTAAACATACAGTCACCAAACTCCAGTCACCTGCTTGACTAAAACAAGGTAGTCTTCAATTAGTCTATACAAGTAAAGAAAGACTAAAAATATTGTAAGGGTTCGTTTAAAAAAGTATGGATTAGAACAAATTTGCAAGTAATATTAATTGCAGAATGTAAAATGCCTCCTTAGCCACTGCATACTGTTTGAGCCTTTAAGAAGCAACTTTGAAAGTAGTGCATTACGCACAATGGAGGTTAGTGGAACAGAAGCTACTTTGAAAGTAGGGCAGGACCTCCGGTTTCCATATGGGACAGCAAAGCTGCTTGAAGCGAGCCTATGTAACATTACTGAACATCTGCCTCTGTGGCCACAAGTGACAAACAAACAGTTATTGTGAAATGCTAGTAGGGAGGACTCATAAAGACAGCTAACTGACTCAGTAACGTTAGTTACATCGCAATATTTCCCTAAAGTTAGCTGACATATGCTAACATTAGCCACCAAAAGCTGCAGGTCTACTGGTCATACCAGACCATATGAGGTTGTAGTTGGTGTAATTTAAAATTTTAAAAGCATAAAATAATGTGTTTCTTTTAATTACTTAACTTAACTTACTTAACTGAAAGCAGTATTGCAAAAATGAGTCAACAGTGTATAGCCCAACATTGTTTTCAATTATTGTTCTAACATAAATTCTATATGTATCCTCAGACTAGGACATTTATCTGAATGTTAATGCAGCCCCTGTGTACAGTCACAACCTCTGTTCGTGTGTGTGCGTGTTCCTCAGCTGCTGGAGTACATGGGGAAAGGGAAGAGCATCGTGGACGTGGGCCTGGCTCAGGCCCGTCGGCCTCTCAACACACGCTTCCACTACTATGAACTGGAGATCACAGATGCTGGAGAAAAGTGTTACATCGCCCTGGGGCTGGCACGCAGGGTAAGAGCCTCCTCCTTTTAGTCACCACCGTAATGATCGCATGTCATTGACATTGACACGCCGTCTTACTTACTGTACACACTCTGTGTACAGTAAGTAACAGTCTGCATGTTAAGAAAACTTGCTCTCACACCTCGTCATCCCTCTCCCTCATACGCACCACTGCTCTCACTGTTTCCAGTCTGAGTGATGGATGACCGAAAGAGGAAAAGCTAACAACAGAATAAATATTATCTCATTTTACCCCCACATCTGGTTTTCCATAGAAAGCATGTTGTTCCAGTTACATGCTAATCTGCCATCTTAACTAGAATACTGCAGGCGAGTAAGTTATGGCACAGTTAGTTATGAGATAAGATGAGAACATCCGATTGTTCTATTTGTCTCAGTCTTTTCCATTTATTCTTTGTTTTACTTCCTCTTTCCACACACTCACCCTACACAAGAAGGAATAAATAGAAAAGGGTTAAACGTATTCAGGAGTTCCTCAGGCTACGCAATTTAAGGTTAATATCCTGATTAATTTGGCTCAGTTGAGTCGTATTTAATCAGAAATGTTGACAGCAAATGATGATCCATATTTTGGAACCAAAACTTGGGTCTGAGAGGATGTGAGTTGAATATTTATACATCAGAGATGCTGCTTTTGGCCTCAAACAAAATCATACACATCCCGTTTAATATAAGTAAAGCAGCGTAATAATCACTGGGGGCGCAGTAATCGTTTCATTTAAATGATAGATATGAAATGAAGTGTGGTTCAGATATTGTTGTTCTGTACTCTTTTATTGGATGCTGATTGATCGAGCGTCGCTCGTGCTAATCACACTGCTGTTTCGCCAGCTGTGATGGTCCCTGGGAGGTGGTGGATCATTTTTGCACTCACCCTCAGTGTTAAGCTCCTCCTGATTCCTGTGCCGTCAGTTACTGTGTGTGGGCATGTTGCGCCCCCAGGTCAGACCTGCATGGAGAATAGAGCTCTGTCATTTCACTGATTGTTTTCCAGGAATTGTTTCTCTCAGTGTGTCTGCGGTTTCGCTAGAGCATTATAAATCTATCAAACGGTCATTCCTGAGGTTTTGCGCCATCCCCCGTCATCTCCTGCAAGACGCATCAGTCTGATGATGGGAAGCCTTACCTCTTGCTACAAAAATCAAAACAAAGGTCTCTCTCTCTCTCTCTCTCTCTCATTCTCTTTCTCTGACTAACACATTCTTAATGCTTACTAGTTACTCAATGATTGCTTATCATGTATAAAGGAGCAATTGTTTATGGTGCATTCCTTTCCCCTTTTGTCGCTTCGGGTAAAAGTCTTACTGTCTCTGTTTCTTACGCACCAGATTCCTTATCACTTTAATACTGGGGTGTTCCTACGGTCTTATCTCATCATGCTGTTTCCCTCCAACATCTGGTTTTCCTGCTTGTTGCTGTGGTCATCATCACATCAGTGCTCTGCTTACAGGGGCTTATATGGTCACTGAGACTTCCTCGAATTAGATCTGTTTTATAATGTGAAATCCAACTCAAACCCCCCCTTCCATTTGGAAAGTACTCAAGTACTTTTAAGAATTTCAGGTATCATGAGAACTTTGGCTGAAGCCTCACAAAACACATCAATGAAATAAAATGGGGACATATAGTAGTTTGATTAAGCTGATGAAATCAACTCAAGGTCTTAAGATTATACTTTTCTCTTTTGATTTACAGGACTACCCTAAAAACAGACATCCAGGTTGGAGCAGAGGGTCCATAGCTTATCATGCAGGTGAGTGTTGGCTGATCATGTTGGTGCATGATGACGTGTCCATGAGTTTTCTCTGCAAACATTTGCATTCAAATGAAATCCATACTATAGTACCACTATCATCACGGGCAGTGTCCGTGTGTTTAATTTTCTATCTGACTTTTTTTAGCGTACACATTTAATGTGTTACAAACGATCACATTGGTAATGGCACCAAATCATCACTCACATTTCTGGCAATGGTAGAAAAGGACAGACCAGTTAAAATTTCATTATTATTGACAGCAGTGTCAATGATAATGAAATATTTAAAAGGTTAGAATTGATTTCTATGCAGCTTTCTTTGTCTTCCATCAGCTGGAAGGAGCCAGAAGAAAAAGAGTTATGTAAATGTTGGTGATGACGGGTGTTTTGTGTTCTGATAGTTGCACCTGTGTTTTAATCGTATCACAGTCTCTCATGTATGTGATTAAAAGCACTAATCAACTTCACCCTTTGCCCTTTGTAGATGATGGGAAGTTGTTTCAGGGCAGCGGGGTCGGGGATGCGTTTGGACCACGCTGCTTTGAAGGAGACATTATGGGCTGTGGGATCATGTTTCCACGTGACTTCAACCCTGATGGTGGAGGTGAACATCTTTTATATTGATTCCACATTTTTTCAAAGCTCTGTTTATCATCGAAGACAGCCCTTAATTGTCTCGCTTTCTGTTGCTGTCTGGGTTGTGTCAGATGACGTAGATGACTGGGACCTTGACGTGTTTCCCAAGCCCAGCGAGGTTCAGAATGACTTGTATGCAAACAATGAAGATGAAGAGGAGGATGAGGCAGAAGACTTAGAGGGGAGGAAAGTCATGGTGAGTTGCTGTCAGAGTCTAGGAATATAAAACCAAGCACTCTTAAAGCTTCAATGCAAACATTTATATAATCTTTTTTGCTGTGTTTTTGTGTTTGAACAGGTGTTCTTCACCCGCAATGGAAAGGTGGTGGGCCGGAGAGAAGTGGCCTTACCGGTAGGAGGCTTCTACCCCACTATTGGCATGATGAGTACTGGGGAGAAGGTCAGAGTGGACCTGCACCCCCTCAGCGGCTGAGCCGAGAGAAGGAAATGAAAACCAATTGGGGAAATCAGAGCGAGGAGGAATGATTGAGCTCTGGTACATTTTGGAGATTGGACAATAAATACACTGTTGAAAAAAAATGAAGGGAACACTTAAATCACACATCGTATCTTGATGAACAAATTATTCAATTTGAAAATCTTTACTGATTTACATTGTATAATTTGTTGAGAACAAAATGACGTAGCAACAGTCAATGGAAACCAAAATCATCAACCCACTGAGGGCTGGATTCACAAGCACACCGAAAATCAAAGTGAAAAATTGAAATCACAGGCTGGTCCAACTTGCGTGAATTTCATCACAGCAACTCATAATGTGACTCAGTAGTGTGTATGGCCCCGCGTGCCTGTATGCACTGCCAACAATGTCTGGGAATGCTCCTGATGAGCCAGCGGATGGGGATCTCCTCTCAGACCTGGATCAGGGCATCAGTGAGCTCCTGGACAGTCCGTGGCAGTACTTGGCGGCGTTGGATCCAGCAGTACAAAACGTCCCATAGGTGCTCAATTGGATTTAGGTCAGGGGAACGTGAAGGCCAGCCAATGGCGTCAGTGCCTTCGTCATCCAGGAACTGCCTACACACTCTGGCCACATGAAGCCGGGCATTGTCCTGCACCAGGAGGAACCCAGGGCCCGCTGCAACTGCGAAAGGTCTGACAATCGCTCTGAGGATTTCATCCCGGTACCTAACAGCAGTCGGGGCACCGTTGGCTTACGACATGGAGGTCTGTGCGACCCTCCAAGGATATGCCTCCCCAGACCATCACTGACCTGCTGCCAAACCGGTCATGCTAGATGATGTGACAGGCAGCATAACGTTCACCACGGTGTCTCCAGACTCTTTCACGCCTGTCACATGTGCTCAGTGTGACCCTGCTCTGGTCTGTGAAGAGAACGGGGCGCCAATGCAAATTCTGGTGTTCTCTGGCGAATGCCAATCGAGCTTGCACGGTGCTGGGTCCCACAGGTCCCACTAGAGGACGTCAGGCTCTCATGCCACCCTCCTGGAGTCTGTTTCTGACAGTTTGGTCAGAAACATGCACACCAGTAGCCTGCTGGAGGTCATGTTGTAGGGCTCTGGCTCCGGCCGGTCTCCTGGTATCTCCTCCATGCTCTTGAGACTGTGCTGGGAGACACAGCAAACCTCCTTGCGACCGCACGTATGGATGTGCCATCCTGGAGGAGCTGGACTACCTGTGCAACCTGATTGGGGCTGCAGGTTCCACCTCATGCTACCAGTAGTGACAAAGACACTAGCAAAACACAAAACAAGAGAAGAATCAGTCAGGAAGGAGAAGGAGAGAGCAATTGTCTGTGGCCACCACATGCAAAACCTTTCCCTTTTTGGGCGTTGTCTTGCTTTTGCCTCTCCATTGCACCTGTTGTCACTTTCATTTGCACCAAAGCAGGTGAAATCACAATCACTTGTGCTGACAGATTGATATCCCTGAAGTTTAACTGACCTGTTGTTATACTGTGATGACTAAGTGTTCCCTTAATTTATTTGGGCAGTGTAATACCTCCACATCAACAGGCTCCAAGGTGTTACTTGAATAGTCACTCCAGTGTAGGAGGTTACTGTGGCTCTCTAGTGCTGTAAGAATGATTTAACATGCTGGCAGAATTTTTTTTTTTTTTTATCAAGAATTATCAAAATAATGAATGTTAATATTACATGTGTGCCTAAGAAAATCGCTTTATAATGAAATAGTTTTATACTGTAAGAAATAACCAGTCAGAGGTTTTAAAGGGTAAAACACTATTTTTTGAAAAATCTAATCACACTCTGTAAAGTTAGTAAAATGCCAAAAAAAGAAAAAAGGGTCTGACCAGAATAATGAATGTAAAAATCCAGATAAAGTGGGGCCCCGGCTGACAAATGGACCCCATTTGTCCTCATAAGAGGAACATTATCAGCAATAATATACGTCAGCAGACATGTAGCGCCGCTCTCACAGCCTGCAGCCATACTGTGCTCATTACCAGAGGTCTGCTGTACTTCTTCCTATCGACGGTGTATTAGTGACACTCAGTGGTGAGAGTGGTAAGTCTGCAAAAATCATGTCCGGAAAGTCTTCCAAAGAAACGGCAGTGCACTGAACGAACAGTGAGTTCACTCTCTATAAAACCAGCTGCTCTATCACTGTGGTTCAGTTCAGGTGTGGGTGCTTGTTCTGACATGGAGTCATTCCATAGAGTTATTACTGCATATTCAGTAGCAAATGTGCAAACCACATTCATTGGGAGTTATGGGATAATTAAGTGTAATAACAATTTGTTGAAACTGAGTCCAAACCATCATTATGACCTTTTATCGTTTTATTGGAATACGCTGTTTCAAAAAGCAAAACACAAGGTTGATTTGACGATCATGACGAGCTGTTGTCCTTTTTTTTTTCTTTTTTTTTTTTAAATCAGGTTTGATGTTATCATAATTGTGATAGACATGAAAAACATGCACAGGTAATATTTGTGATAAACATCTGCTTTTAAAAGATAAGCAAAACCAAAACCATGTCAGAAGATGAACTTCAAACAGATGTAGACCAACAATGAATTGACATTTCTTGTTTTGCCTCTTGCAATTTGCTCTACATGTTTTTCCCTCTACAGAGATCCTCAGTGTCCAAGTGTAACTAGTGCTTTACATGTCCTCTGAGAATGTACCTTATCATTGGGCTTGCGCACAAACCGACAGACAGTAAATACCTCATCTCCAGTTGATTAAAGTGATGCCAAACTTTTTGGTTTCCTTTTCTTCTTTATTTCTAAAAATCTGAACTTAGATCTTTTTGAGAAACTGGAGCATTTTCACAAATTGAAGATGACAGGAAAAGAACACTTTGGAAGTTAGTATGGTATTAAATGTATTTTCTCTGGATCATTCATGTATTTTGGATGAAATGGAAACCAATTGTCTAAAAAAAGAGGAAAATCATGAAAAAAAATGTGTTGAGTATCAAACCCAGTCAGGACAACAACATTAAGGAGGTATAATAGTACATTTCTGAGTAGTTCCAAATTTGAATATTTTAGGTCTGAATGTTAAAAATGAAGCCATAACTAAGATTTTCTGCTCTCAGGTATTTGAAAATCAAAATGACCTAGTCTTTTCTAAGATCATTTGTGTGACTTTGCTGTAAGTTGAATTCAGCAATTGTTTGCCACAAGTTGTTATTTACCAGTGATGCTTTTTAAAAATATTTTTGAGATGAGGGCGCTGCTTTGGCATCAGTTCATACTACACTCGTGACAGGTTTCTCTGTAGATGTGTGTTTCAAGTTGTTGAGTCATTCATGCAAAAATAACAAATCGGCAATCACTGGCGACAGCTGCAACTTGTGAAGGGTTTTAACATTTACCTCTAATGCTGTTTATTGATGTTCCTTTTTTGTTAATCTGCCAGAAATGGTTACCATTGTGCACTTCATCAAGATACTATGTACACTTTACAGTAGAATACTGATTTGTCAAACTTCAGTTGTCTAAAAGAACCAGACCAAATGATGGAAAAAGATCCAGTTCAATAATACACCTTGTAGTAGGTGACGGAAATGCTTTGTTTGTTTGTAAAACTGCATACACACTGAAAACCTCCTATTGCATATCATCCTAAAGCTTGAGGACTGTGCAGGTCACTGAAAAGAACTAAACACACCTTACTGGAGGAATTCTTGCTGGAATATTCATTTGAATAAGGGCCATGAAATGCCCCTCTGTGTTGCATAACGGGTGTACTCCTGTTTGGTTTTTCCACTTTTCCTTATTATCGTCCAGTTTTGGTCACACTGTGTGTTAATCATCATCTTTGTTCACAGGAGCTAATAATGGTCCTCTGCTGCTGCTGCTGCTGCTTATCTGCGACATGCTACTCACAGTGATCCCTTCTTTGATATTTTTGAATCAAGTTTAATGTAATCAGGTTATCTTTCAGTCCCTCCCTGTCTTGTTTGTTTTTTGTATCATGTTGACTTTTCTCTCATCCATTCTGTCTCTTTACACTTAAAGCAATCGGATAAACATGCCAAAAATAATTAAAAGCAATGTTCACATTCATTGCACTGCTGACTCCATTTTCATCTTTTTTTATTCCTGTCAAGTTTAATATGAATAACATTTTGTGCTTTAGATGTAAATTAATTTCTCTTAGATTTTTTTTAATGGAGGCAAAATCTTTCACACCCCAAATTATGTAAAATAAATATTAGCTTCATAAGCATTTAAAGTTTAAACCCTTAATAATCCTTGGCATCGTTTGCTTGTTTTCATTTGTGTCAACATCTCGGATATTTGAAAAATATTAAAATACATAGTATTTAACTACAACAGAAGTAGTTGTAGATTAACAGCGATTCATGGTGTCTTAAGAAAAGAGTATGAAGATCGCAAAAATTCAAATTCAAATCAATTAAACCCATTTCTTTGAGGAAGATCATCCAGTTAAGAGTGATTTTTTTTCTTTGGCTTAATATGTATCATGACTCTTCTCAAATCGAAATGAATGTAACGTAAGAAAGGTAATGTATTCTGACTATAGTGTGAAAGAACCATGTCCCTGTTTGGTTCACCTCAATGTGCATGATATCTAAAACTGTTCCTCACCAAAGACAAAACAAGAGAACAGTAAATCTAATAGCTATTACAGACGCATCATGAAAAAGACACTATCAGCTTTGTGGGAACTCTGGATTTTCTTATTGATACATTTTAATTGTGTTTCAGTCACAGTTAGAACTGTAATACCCAATGTGTCAGTATACAAATTGTTATTTTTAAAAATATTCTACAGTGCAAACATATATTCCATAGCACATTATAAAATACAAAGTGTTTTACATATAATATCAATCGGATTGCATTTGACAACACATGTTGTCAACACAAATCCAGAAGGCCAAAAGAAATGACATATGTTGAACGATTAGATTGAAATTTTATATTATTTATTTGTATTTTCTCCTTTTGCTGTGGTAATGGTGTTTAGAACAGTTTTAACCAGGAACATGTTACAAAAAAATGTAAATAAATGTAAAGCTTTTCTGACAGAATTATAGTGGAAAGGTTCTGACTCCCACCAGATAATATACCAAGGCTATTTCACACAGTTACAC